GACGACTTTCATGTATCTGTTCATGGCAATTAAGCCCATAGTGAGCAGGGAGGCCAAAACCATAGTATGATGTATTAATGCGGAAATTTCACACCATTCTTGGCTAAAATTCCACCTTCCCGTGAACAAGCTCGTTATCCAGAACGGCATGTTAAGGGTCGCCATGATAATATCAGTCAGTGCGAGATTGTGAATAAGAACGTTGGTGATGGTTTGCATCTCGGAGTATTTATTTGTAACATAAACAACCAGCACATTACCAAGTACTGAAGCGAGGCAAACCAGAATGGCGAAAGTTACTTCCAAAACAATTTCTGCTCTCGAGCGATTAAGAGGATCTTGGGAAATCGTTGGTGACATCCTGATCTATAATCCAAGCGGCATGAAAAATCAAAATTAAAATTAAGAACAATCTCAATTTCGGGAAAAAATGCTATGACATTGATTCATCAAAGGCAATACAATGTACAACCTTCTGCTTTGGGCAAATGTAACTCAACAATAATCTCTTTTCATTTTTGTTTGTTGAAACTGAGCCAACACGCAGCAGAACTCGCAATGCATCGCGCTCACTTTCCTCGATGGACCTTTACAATTTCAGGATTAATATAAAGGATATTCTCTACAGTCATTCTTCACGTATCTTCAATAAACATAGTGAAACGGTATTTCTTTAGAGAACGCCCAAATGCTATATAATACTTACGAGTTTAAATTACCTGAATCTTTCCATCTAAGTTTAAAACCTGGTTAAGATATTTTTACCTGCTACTAACTTTATCCTCAATGATGCTATTAAAATCATCAAGCTACTTCAGCGAAAGTGAACGATTGCTGAGATTTCCTTTTTGCAGTCGACTTGATTACGGCTTTATTGAATTTAAGAGAGCCATCATCACTAGTTATCTTTATATTCTTTTCCCCATAATCCTTCATCAGTTATTCTCTCGTCGGAGGGGTAAAGTTAGTGGTTGAAAAAAGGAAAAGCAAAAAGGAAGAACAGCCTTCGTATTCTTGGTAAAGAAAAATTTTAACCCTCTACAGTGCAAACAGCTGAAGCCAGACAGAGGGAAACAACTGCGTTTTCAGCTCCTACCTTTTGTTAAAGCCACCTAATTAAAGTCTATTTTCCTCTCTGATCTCCTCTGTTGTCTCAATCAAATAAATCACTTTAAATCAAAAGGTTAAAGAATCATTCCCCTTTTTCAGTGCATTAGCTTTCTGTTTTAAGTGAAAAGGCTTTGGCGTACATGTAACAAAAGACATGATAGAAGGAAAATGACTAAGAACATTTAAGATATTTGAGTCACAATAAAAGTGATTTATTTTGAACTGGACAGCTTAGGAAATAGAGTCTCAATGGGGTTAACCGATAGGCGTAAAACAGTTGAAATTTCGGCGATTGGCGGAGAACTTTTAATCGATAGATATAACTCCATTGTTGTTACCATGGGGTCGAGGTCATCTTTTTTTAACGGTTAAAAAAAAGATGATGATGGTAACAGCAATGGAGTTATATTAACCGTAAAAGTGATTACCCCATTGAGACCATTGAAACAGAGTGTCGCTCAGAAAACAATGACTTAATTCAAGTAAGCTTAAATGGACATCGTCTGCTATCAACTGTTCATTTGATAAAGGGAGAATATATCTATTGGAAAAGATAAAATGAGTTTAGGGCACTTTGCAGTGGAGTGTCGTCTAACTAGAACCAAAGTTATCAAAACAATCAACCAAAGCGAAGGAACATACCCTGGTCGCTAGATGAAATAATCAACGAGGTGTAATTACCACCGGTCACTTAGAATAATAAATTTTCGGTAAAAAGTCTTGAAACCTTTTTCACCTTAAACAGACAACTAGGCTACAACTTCGTCTTTTAGTTAAAATGATTATATTTGATTCGGGGGCAACAAAGGAGATATCGATGTAACCACTATCCTGAGAAAACAATAAAGAGACGAAAGTGGCTTTTACTGGCTTTCATCTGTTTGCACAGAAGAACTATTCAGATCTATTTTTAGTATAAATACCAAAGTATTTTTGTTCCTTTCGATTTTTTCCTAATTTTAAAAGCTGCTCTTCAGAGTAGAGGGTGACTGATAGGTGATTATTCACTTTATCAATAAAGGGCAAAATAACTGAGCGCTGATTGGTTGAGAGAGAGGGCATTTTTTTCTTAATCGAGGGCATTTTTAGTAATCAAGAGAGGGCATGATTACCTGTTAATGATTGGCTAATCCGTTGCATTGCTAATCCGTTGCTTCCCAGATAAAAATAGACTGCGCGCGTGATTTTCCTTCGTATAAATTTTGCCCTTTATTGATAAACAAGTAATCCCATGAGACCTCGTACTATTAAGGATTAATTGCACTTGAGTTTTCAAAATTTTCCAAATTGCCCTCGTCGCTTCGCGACTCGGGCAATTTTGGAAAATTTTGAAAACTCTCGTGCAATTAATCCTTAATAGTACTTGGCCTCATGTGATTACCTATACAAATCCGTACTAAAGTCGGAAATCTTAGCAGTCATTCCTTTCGCTAAACTTGATACACGATTACGGTGTCCGTGAACTTAAAACAGTAAAAGTTAAAAAGAAAAGTTTTAAAAATTCAGTGAAATAAAAAATCGAGATCATTCTGCAATGTTTGAGCATTCTTTAAAAGCGTCGAATTCGTACAATGTTTATCAAAGATCCCTCACAGAAACAATATGGAGAAAATCCATAAGTGCCATCACTCCTGGTATTGTACTAGTAAGGGTTTCCTAAGGGACACAAGGTCGAACAAGTGGCGAGCCCTCCTAGGCAAAGGCTCAGTTCCACGAATAAACATCTTGTCGAGTTTTATTTACCCAACTTAGAGGGCAACGTTTGTACCTTGCAAGCCAAGGATCTCAAGCATCCGGTGCTTAAATTAGGAAGGCTTTAAAACAAGAAATGCGATTAAATGAGTCTCTGGGAGGAAGACGTTTAGAGGGGGTGTTAGAATTTTATCATCCTCCTACCAGTGCATTAGACTTCTGTCAGACTTCTGATCGATATTTTGATTTTAAATTTTAAATTTTGTTTGGTTTTATTTTCATGTTTACTGCAACTCGAATTTCTCAAAAAAATTCCCAAGATCCTCTTGGTCGCTCGAGAGCGGAAATTTATCTGGAGGTAACCTTCGCCATTCTGATCTGCCTCTATGTTGTTAATTGATACTCCGAGATGCAAACCGTCAGCAACATTTCCATTTAAAATCTTGCACTGGCTGATGTTTTCATGGCGACCATCAACACACCGTTCTGGATAACGACTTTGTACACGAGAACGTGGAATTTGAGCCAGGAATGGTGTGTAGTTTCCGCATGGTGCAAGCTACAATGGCTTTTGCGTTCATGCTCATCATGGGCTTAATTACCCTAAACAGATACATTAAAACCGTCAGATACATTAAAGCCGCATTCTTCCCTAGTAAAGCAGTTGCTCGTTTAAACTGTGGTGTGGTCCGGCTGATTCTTGTGCTATCTACCCGACCTCCTTTGTGGGGATGGGGAAGAATGAAATTCGACTCATATGTCTTTGTCTATACTTTTAACTGGAAGGAAGGAAGGACAATTTTTCATTCGCCAAATTGATTGCAAGACTCCTCAACGTTATAGCATATGCGATAATTTACTACTAATGGAAAATTCATCAATAAAGAATTAGGGTGTTAACCTTAACAATATTTTTTTAAATCATCGAATTTTGTCTGCTCTGCAACTCCATCTTCTCGTGCGTGTCGCAGAGTGAACGAATCCGTGTCGTCGAAGATTGTAGATTTGACTCTTTTTGGATGCTAGATAGATGCGACCCTGGCCTATCTAAGAAGAATAAAAACTGCGCTAAAACTCAACATGCATTTTGTTGTCTCGTTACGATTTTTCTTACTTTAAAGCAGCGGTGAATGTTATTTTTATCTCAATAATTCGCACGCAACGAGGTGCACATTGAAAAACGTTAAGCACACCCACTCGACAGAACGCATATGGACTTGTTTTCCATCCACAGGTGTTAGGAAATGTATGTTTGTTTAAAGATAATAAAATTAAAACTACGCAACAAAACTTCTTTCTCTTAAAAAAAGCACCCGATTTCTCTTGTAGGAACATTGAATCATTTTTCCTTTTTTCTACTTGATTAACGTTCCGATCCGGATAATTGGGACCCATGTCTTGCAAGGCACAGCTTCAGCCTTGCTATTGTCGTGCCAATGGCAAATAAAACCCAACGGGAACATATGTTAAAAACATATATTCATGGCTGATCATGACGCTTTTTTCTCTGAACGGAGACAAATTTTAGCAAAGTTAGCCGGCCACCGCCATCGCCCTTGCTTCTCTCAATGAGCCCTTCCACGGATTTTGTCCATAGCCTTCTGCATTTGTGTACGCCATAAAAATATACCTAGGTTAAATTTTAACAGAATTCTTAAGTGAATTTTAGTTCAGTGAGGCAGAAATATCAAGATATCATTCTGATTACACCCACCGCACAAGACATTTAATGTGAAAAAGTTTACTCAGGATTAGTCAGTCAGTCTTTTAGTAAACGCATCCTGATACAATCTGAATATGTGTACAGTGAAACTAAGGTTTCTAAGAAGAGAACCTGTGCTACGCCAGATACGAAAAGCCACTGAAAAAAACACACTTTCAATGTGGAGACGTATTCCTCATCGAGGCAGCAGTACAGTACCCGAGGAAAGGGTAAACTAACCTGGTTACACTATTAATCAAAAAGTAAAAAAAAAAGCCTGTGCAATCCCGGTTACTTTCGACAGCAAACTGAAAATGTTTCAAATATCCAATGTCTGTTTTTGTATTTTATTGGACCGAGAAAAGTCTAAAGACACGTAAAAACAGAACGAAGCCAGTATCGACCCCACTTTCCCGGAAAAAAAGGTTTTGAATTAAACAAAAAGTGTTGTATGACAGCTTTAAATGATAGATCTTTAGGCCAAAAGTTGGTAAGTTTAATTGCCCTTCGGATGTATTATGACAGCTGCAACTCTTGCATGACTCTGATCTTCATTACTGTTGCCATAACGACCACAACGGAATACTTTTTTGAAGGCCTGTTTAAACTGCGGATTCATTATCCCATAGATGATTGGATTTACAACACTACTGGAGAACAACAAATACACAGCCACCTTAGCCACTTCACGTGGAATGTAGCCTCCATTAGCTATTATAAAAGCGCACAAGGCTATAGGAAACCATGTAATTAAAAAGAAACAAACCACTGTGAAACAAGTCTTCAAAACATCGATGTCAGTACGATGGAACCTTGGTGCGCCGACGCCATTTTGTGCAACATTAGCGTTGACATTATCTGTGCTTTCTTTCACCGTTTGGTAAATTTGCCAATAGAAGTAAAATATTGCAAACATTATCACGTCGAAAAACCCTGCAAGCAGAATGACAAAAGAAAAGTGTCCTTCCTTCCAGTTGAATGAGCACAGTAAAAAATGTGAGTCAAATTTTATTTTTCCCCATCCATACAATGGAGGTGTGGCGAATAGCACAGAAACCAGCCAGACGAAACCAAAGTACAACCAGGCAACTCTTTTACTGGGGAAAAACTTGATATATAAGGTTCGCTTGACGACTTTCATGTATCTGTTCATGGCAATTAAGCCCATAGTGAGTAAGGAGGCCAAAACTATAGTTTGTTGTACCGATGCGGAGACTTCACACCATTGCTGGCTCAAATTCCATTTTCCCGAGCACACGCTCGTTATCCAGAACGGCATGTTAAGGGTCGCCATGATAATATCAGTCAGTGCGAGATTGCGAATGAGAATGTTGGGGATGGTTTGCATCTCAGAGTATTTATTTACAACATAAACAACCAGCACATTACCTAGTACGGAAGCGAGGCAAACCAGAATGGCGAAAGTTACTTCCAAAACAATTTCTGCTCTCGAGCGATACAGGGGATCTTGGGAAATTGTTTGAGACATCCTTATCTGTAATCCAAGCTGTAGTAAATATGAAAAGATAAATAAACAACAATCTCAATTTCGGGAAGAAAAAGCTATTACATGGATCTATCAGTGTACAACCTTCTGCTTTAGGCAAATTAAACTCTACAATAACCTTTTTTCATTTTTTTTGTTGAAACTGAGCCAACACTCAGCAGAGCTCGCAGTGCATAGCCTTCACTTTCCTCAATGGACCTGTACAATTTTAGGATTAACGTAAACGATTTTCAACATAGTCATCCTTCAGGTATCTTCAATAAACATAATGCAACTTATTGCCTCAGAGAACGCCAAATGTTATATGATACTCACGATTTTCAATTTGCTGAATCTCTCAAACTCAGGGTAAGATCTGGATAAGATCTTTTTACCTGCCGCTGGGTTTATTTACAAGGATGCTGAAAATATCAAGCTATTGAATGTCAAGGGAATGATTGCTAAGATTTTCGCTTTGCGGCCGACTTATATGCGGTTTTATTGAATTCAAGAGAGCCATTACGACTAATTATCTTTATATTCACTTTCCTTATAATCTATTAGTGATTCTTTTGTATGAGGAGTAACTTTAGTGGTAGGAAAAAGGAAAGGCAAAAATAAAAAATCGAATTTCGTTTTTCCAGTAAAGGAAAATCTTTACCCTCTACTGTTAAAACAGTTGAAAGCCAGCAGAAGGAACGACGTCATTTCAGCTTTTGCCGTTTGTTACAGCCACCTAACGGAAGTCTTTGTTCCTCTCTAATCACGATTAGAACTCCTTTGTTGTCCCAATCATATAAATCACTTTCTAACAAAAGCTTGCTTGTCAGTGCATCAGCTGTCCGTTTGACTGGAAAGAGCTTTGACTTTGAACAATAGACATAATAAAAGTAAAATGACTCAAAACATTTTGGACATTTGAGTCATTTTTATCTGGAGAGCATAGGAAATAGAGAGTCTCATTAGGGTTAACCAATAGCCGTAAAACGGCCTAAATTTAGCCGATTGGAGCAAAAATTTAGACATTTTAACTCACGGTCGAAAAAAATTTCACTTTCAAATAAGAAGAAAAAACAGTGACAACTATGCAATTACATTATCTACGCCCTAAAATGGCAAAAATTTCAACCGTTAGCCGTGAAAGCCATAGCACCTCATTGAGACCCTCGAAACAGAGTAAATTAATTTAAGTAAGCTTAGATGAACGATAATGATAGAGTTTTCTTCGTCTGCTATCAATAAAGGGAATAATTTAAAGGGAAAATATATATTGGTAAGGAGAAGACGAAGTTGGGTGTCGCCAGACTAAAACCAAATTTATCAAAACGATCAACCAAATCGAAGGAACATACCTTAATCGCTTAATGAAATAATCAAAGAGGTTTAATTACCACCGGTCATTTAGAGTAATAAATTTTCGGTAAAAACTCTTTAAACCTTTGCCACCTTAAACAGACAGCTAGTCTACTAACAGAGAGGAAATGATTCTGTAAGTCTTTTATCCAAAGTGATTTATTTGATTCGAGGGTAACAAAGGAGATATCGATGTAACCACTATCTTGAGAGAACAATATAGAGGCGAAGGTGGCTCAGGCGAACAGCAAACGGTAAACATCGAGGTTTTTGCCTTTGCTGACTTTCAGCTGTTTGCGCAGAAGAACAATACAGATTTATTTTATTGTAGAAACCAGAGTTCTTTTGTTCCTTCCGCTTTTTACTTTTTTTTTAATTTTCAAATCTGCTTGTCAGAGTAGCGAATGTAAGTCGTAGATGATTATGAGACAATACGAACTTGAAATAAATCACTAATAATGGCTCTCTTGTGTTAATGAGTTTTGAATTCACTAAAGTCGTACTAAAATCGACTTTCAAAGTTAAATCTTAGCAATCATTCCCTTCGCTAAAGTACTGACATACACGATTACGGTGTCTTTTAAGGTAAAGAAATGATCATTAGCGCTTTACAATGATTCTTCTACTTCAATCTAAGTATACCATGTAAAATTTAAATGATACTCACTAAAGAAATGAAAAACGCGCCGAGTGCATTGTTGAGTTCTATAAGCACGCAGGAATTTTATAAGATGACGTAGGCTGCGTGCTTTATATCTCAACAGTGCACTTGTGTGACGTAAGGCGCGTGCATATAATGGACTCGCTCTGACCAATCACGGCGCACGCATTTCTCTGAACAGTTTATGAAATAAGATAACACAAATCAGATTAATTAATATTCATAAAAACTTAAATAAAATAAAATTTCTGTTCTAAAACGGTTAAAGAAAACCTGATCAAAAAGGGAGTTCTTAAGATTGGGTTTAAAAGTTGTTAATGACTATGGGATAGCACGCAATTCTAAAAGGAACTATTTCACAAACATGGTGCCGCGGCATAAAAGGATCTAATAAAAAGCGCACTTTACATTCAGATAGTGGTTTAAAATGATCCATTCAGGTACCAGACCAAGACTTGGCAATATTGCCGAAAATATCTGATAATGTTGACGATAGCGTATCGAATTTTAAAAGAATCGATTTAATTTTCCCACTAAAGAAACTCCCCATCTGCTAAAACCCAAGGCATGTCTCCGTTTTTATCATTACCTATTATTTCGCAAACTACTATGATGAACACGTGTAACTGAAATACAAAACTATTTCTGCGACTGATGTTAACCCGGATGTTCTGTCGCGAAAAACAACACAAAAGCTATTTGGGTTGACACATCGTTACTGGCTTTTGACACTTTTGCGGCTTAAAGAATTAAATTCGGAAAAAACGTTTTTGCTAATAACTCGACTACATTTCAATATTTTATTATAACGTTTTGCGGAAACTGTAATTAAAAAAATAAACTTTGTTTGAGGTGAAAAAAAATGTTGGCCCGCAAAGGTCTACCGTATCCTTCAAGTTCCGGATAATTGAGATCGCTTATTAGCTTTCCAAGCTACATTTTCAATGTGTACATTCCAAGTTAGGTTAGTGTCATAGTAAGTCCCAGCAACTTGGCGGTACTTACAACTTCTACTTCTTTCGTGTTGATAGGGATTTTTTAGTGTTTTAGCTGCCATATTTCGAGAAAGCTGCGACAAATAACTGGTATTGAGAATCATGAAGGTTTTGCCGTTCATTCATCAACCTGACCGAGGGGCGCCAAAGGCGAGTGACGTGTAAGCAGCCGATTGGCTATATCAACACACGTGAGAAAATACGATATTTTTAATTGCCAATATTTTTTTTCACCTCAAACAAAGTTTTTTGTATTGATGATAAATGATTTGGATGTAAACACACCACATTTATGGAAATTTGTTGATGACATTACAGCATCCGAAGTCGTTCCGAAAGGGAATACCAGTAAAGCACAGAGTATAGTTAACCAGGTTATTGAGTTGTCCCATATAAATAGAGAACCCTGAACCCTCAACCCTGATAATTGCAAGGAGCTCCAAATCTCATTTTCTCGGAATCCAGTTGAACTGGATGCAGTTGTTATCGACAGAAAAGAAGTAGATGTTGTAAGTACCGCCAAGTTGCTGGGACTTATTACAAACGCTGACCTAAATTGGAATGCACACGTTGAAAATGTAGCTTGGAAAGCTATTAAGCGATTGCATTTCCTAGTACAGCTCAAACGCACGAAATTATCGCCAACAGATCTAATTCTTTACTACAATACGTGCGTAAGGTCCGTGGTCGATTATGCCGTTCAGGTATTTTATAACGCCTTGCCGCAATATCCCATCAATGCGCTTGTTCGTATTGAGAAAAGGGCGATCTCAATCATTTTACCCAGCACGAGCTACAATTATGCATGCGAAATCCTTGGCATAACACCAATGGTGGACCATATTGATTCATTATGTGATAAGCTTTTTCATAGCATCGCATCTGATAAAGACCATACGCTGAACCGCTTACTTCCGCCCTTACATAAGAATCCAAGGGTATAATATAAGAAAACATCGCCTTTATAATATGCCACATGTCCTCACCAATAGGCCAAAGAACTCTTTTATACTTGCAATGGCCGCAGAGCAAATCGAATTTTCTGGGTAAATTTTCATTAGTGGAACTTGTAACGACCATTGTAGGGTTATTTTCCAAATTATATATCATAGCTATAAGAAGTGTATTAAGGTCTTATTATATTGGTTACTAGATCTCCATGAAACATAGTTAGTACCTATTTTATACTTTAGTCATTATCGTAACTTTTTTAAATCTTAGTAAGTAAACAATTGCGTAATTCAGCCTATGGGCTGCAATGTGACTTTAATAAACACTTACCTATCGACCAACTGGTGAGTACTCAAAATAAAATTAACCAAACTCTCTGAAGCGCAGAAAAAAAAGCGAGTGAGCACTTCCTGACTGACTTTACCTTTGTCTCTGATTGGTCGAGAGGGAGGTGCAAATTTACGGGATTAACGGGAAAGTAAAAAAAAATTGATGTTGAAACTGAGCCAACACTCGGCAGAGCTCTCAGTGCAACGGCTTCACCTTCCTCGATGGACCTCTACAATTTCAAGATTAATAATAATAATATAATAATAATAAAGGTCTTTATTAAGAATTCATTGCGCAAACAGACGTGCAACAATTTACATGAAGAAATAATGATTAACTGCAATTAAAAAGACATCTACCGATAAACACTGATTTAAAACGACTTGTCTGGACCTTACAATTTCAAGATTAATTTCGTGGAAGAACAAATTTAAAGAATTTTCTCCATAGCCCTCTTTCAATAAACATAGTACAAGGTTATTGCTTCAGAGAACGCTCAAATAATACTCACGATTTTAATTCCCTGAATCTCTCAAAAACCTGGTTAAGATCTTTTTACCTGCCGCTGGCTTTATTTTCAAGGATGCTCAAAACATCAAGCTCCTTCAGCAAAAGGGAATGATTGTTAAGATTTTCGTTTTACAGCCGACTTAAATACAATTTTATTGAATTAAAGAGAGCCATTATCACTAATTATCTTTAAACTCATTTCCCCCTTATTTCTTTATCAGTTATTCTTTTGCATGAGGAGTAAATGTAGTTGTCCAAAAAAAAAAAAGCAAAAAAAAAAAACAACTCTCGTTTTTTCATTAAAGGAAAATCTTTACCCTCTATTATGCAAACAGTAAAAGCCGCAGAAGGAACCAACGTCGTTTCAGCTTCTGCCCTTCGTTACAGCCACCTTATTAAAGTCTATGTTCCTCTCTGATTTTTATTAGAACTCCGTCCCAATCACTTTATATCAAAAACTTGAAGAATCACGCACCTTTTTCAGTGCATTAGCTGTTTTTTTTAATTGGAAAAAACTTTGACGTAAAGCAATAATAGGCATGATAGAATGAAAACGACTCAGAACATTTTGGATATTTGAGTCACAATAAAGGTGATTTATTTTGATCTGGACGGTATAGAAAATTTAGAGTCTCAATAGGGTTAACCGATAGACGTAAAGCGTTTGAAATTTCGCCGATTGGCGGAGTAGTTGACAAATTTTTAGCCGATATTCGTTAAAAAAAAGATGACCTTAAACAAAATTATGTTGACAACGATGGAGTTATATTAACTTTCGAAACAATGTCGCTCAGAAAACAATGAATCAATTCAAGTGAGTTTAAATGAACGATTAAAATAGAGTTTTCTTCGTCTTGTTATCAATTGTTTATTTGATAAAGGGAAAATATATCCATTGGCAAAAATAGATGAGTTTAGGCACTTTGCAGTGGAGTGTCGTCTGAATAGAACCAAAGTTATCAAAACAATCAGCCAAAGCGAAGGAACATACCCTGATCGCTTAATGGAATAATCAACAAGGTTTAATTACTACTGGTCATTTAAATTAATAAATTTTCAGTAAAAACTCTTTAAACCTTTGTCACCTCAAACAGACAACTAGTCTACTGACAGAGAGGAAATGATGCCGTGAGTCGTTTATTTAAAGTGATTTACTTAAATCGGAGGTAACAAAGGAGATATCGATGTAACCACTATCCTGAGAGAACAATATAGGGACGAAGGTGGCTCAGGCGAACAGCAAACGGTAAACATCGAGGTTTTTTCGTTTGCCGGCTTTAAGCTGTTTGCGCAGAAGAATAATACAGATTTATTTTACAGTAAATACAAAAGTTCTTTTGTTCCTTTCGCTGTTTTTTAATTTTCAAATCTGCTCGACAGAGTCGCGAACAACTAATAGATGATTATGTGGCAATACGAACTTGAAATAAATTACAAATGGCTTCAGTTTCGAATACATTAAATCCGCGCTAAAGTCGACCTTCAAACGGAAATCTTAGCAATCATTCCCTTCGCTGAATTTGATAGACGATTACGGTTTCCGTTAACGAAAAGCCAGTAAAATTTGATAGGAAGAGTGTTCCGGATTCAGTGAACTAAAAAGTCGAGGGTATTCTGCGATGTTTGAGCATTCTCTGGAAGCATCGACTTCGTATAATGTTTATCAAAGATTCCTTACAGGAACAATATGGAGAAAGTCCATAAACGCTATTACTCCTGGTATTGTACTTGTAAGGGTTTACTAAGCGGTGTAAGGGCGAACAACTGGGGAGCTTTCCTAGGTAATGGCTCAGTTCCACGAAAAAAATCCATTGTACGGATGGGGAAAAATGAACTTCGACTCAAACGCCTTTGTTTGTAATGTCAACTACTGGGAAGGACACTTATTTCGTCATATTGATTACAGGGCTCCTCAAAGTTATAACTTGTGCGGTACTTCACTACTATTGGAAAATTTATCAAAAGGTGAAAGAGTAATGTCAACGCCAATGTACGCGTGCGTATGTATGTACGTATGCGAGATGGTGTGGCGCACCAAGGTTCCATTGTACTGACAACCACGTCTCGAAGAGTTGTTTCATGATGGTTTGTTTCTTTTTAGTTACGTGTGGTCCCCCAACCACAAGCGCTTTTATAATCACTGCTGGAGGGTATATTCCACATGAGGTGCCTAGGGTAACAGTGTATTTGATGTTCTCCAGCAGTGTTGTAAATCCAATCATCTATGAGATAATGAATACACCGTTTAAAATGTGCTTTACAACAGAACAGAGCACAGTCAAGGCTTCTCTATTTATTAATTGACCAGTTTTCATTGAAATGTATCTGTCGCTCAACTTTTCAGCCTTGGCAAGTGCCTAGGAAATTAAAACTTACTCAGAGTAAAAGCGCCATAGAAATGAAAAGTAATGCAGTTGCTAAGTAACCATTTCGGTGGTGAAGAGCGCGAGAGGCTACTTTAATAACTGTTGCCTTAGAGACGGTCAGGAAAAAAAGAAACGCGATGTATGATAAGTATAAACTGATTTTAAAAAATCGTTTAAAAGCTCTTTAAATAATTTCAAGAAATTATTATTAATGTTTGACGCCATAACTTCTATAAGAGGCATATGCTAATTTTATTGCGATAGAATCGCTGTTTAAGTGCAAACAACCTGTTAGGAACAAAAAGATTTATCCGCGGATTTTGAATCGATAGATTTATGTCACCCTGAAAAATTTCTGCCGTAATGCTTTCAATATTCCACCTAAAATCTGTAATTTTTCATAAAGATGGTTAGATTAAAATAAATTCTTGATGTTAGTTTGGAATTGAAGCTTTATCGTTAAGTAGACGTGGGAGTTAGTTTGTTTTTTAAATGCAAATGTATGCAAATATTTTTTTGTTAAAAAAAGCCTCGTCGCTCATTTGACATCGGAAGTGGATGCTGGCGGAAGCATAGGGTAATAGCAGCATTTTAGGTAATCCTTATTTTGTAACGTTTTTCTATTATTTCTTGAAACTGAACAAAGCGACAACGTTTTGCTAAATTTGTTTAAACTGATCTTCTGAACAATGAAAAATTAACTGACTTGGCCTTCGTTGAAACATATAAGCGTGATATTCATGGCAATATCCCATAGTTTGTTTTGATAAGTGTTTTACCTCTTTGAACTTAAGTCTGGACTTAAAAACTTCTATTTGCTGCTCAAATTATCCTAAATTCTACTTTAAAAGGGTTGGAGAATCTTTGTTCTCAACTGACACGAAGATAATCTTGACAAAAAGCCCTCGAGTTCATGTAAATTTTCCTTCGCGTTTGACTGATCATTTTGACGTAGAGCTGTAATGTTTGCCATTTCTTCCGTTAGGGTTTCAGCGGCCGATAATATCGTTTCGGTGATAGAATTTGTTTTGAATCTTATAGGACAGAATTTTCAATTTCGACCGCCGATTCAGAGTTGCAATTACGCCAGATGAACCAAATATATTGAGTTTATGAAATGATAACATTGATGTGATTTCGTTCATATGGCTTGGAAGTATTCTTGCCCCGGCTGAACAGTGTTGCAAAATAAATTGATGTTCCTGAGGCATTATTTTAGGACAATAATTATTTTCCTCTTGAATTGATTTTGCTTTACCAGTTTAAAAGCTAGCATAAGAGTTTAAAGTGGTTTTATATTGTCTCTGAGTTTTAATCGCCGAGGACACATGACTTAGAACGGAATATTGCTCTGCCGTGATAAGTCTGTTTTGGCGTATTTGACAGACTGACAAGTCTGGTGTGTGTTTAAAGTTGACAATGAATGCAAATGACTTTAACTTGTTTAAACAGGCAGCTCATGGAAATCGCAATGGCTATCAACCTATTCGTGAAGAATTGATCTTCTTCTTCTATGATGCAACTGCAGTACGACAAACATGGAGTTCTGAAGCTGAGTCTGTCAAATCCTAAGGCGCAAGTTTTGTTTCCAACCGGTCATTACACTTACGCTTTTGGAAACACGCCAGGGATAAATTTAGCAGAGTACTTCAGAACGTCCAAGAGTGATGAAAGTCTTGATTTTTTATTGCTTGGTACAGGAGACATTCGAAACCTCCTGTTCACAGTTTCAGAGCTTTACCAACGACTACAATCACAAATCCCAGCTTCGCTTCACTTTAACTTGAATGATCATGATCCATCAATAATCGCTCGAGATGTTATCATCCTAGAGACTGTGCGATCGATCGACCCAAATTGTGACTTCGATGTGGATTTTTTGTGGAATTTATGGTATAACCTTTCACTTTCTAGCAACGAATTAAAGCGATTGCAAACGATTCTGCAGACACTTTCATCACCTGAAGAAGATGACGTTAAGTCGCAGTTTGGGTCTGTCACCTTGTTTACAAAGTGTCTACGAATTTGGAAAGACTGGCTTCACTTAGAACTGGATATTGATAATGTATCGCTTCAACGGCGAAGATTGATGGTGACAGGGCTAAATTTGGCACAACAGGAAACCCAGAATGCTCAACAGGACCACTTTAATTTTATAACAGCAGTAACCTCATTGACAAACACAACAGTTAAACAGCTATTTACGCCGACAGATGAACACAAGCTTGGTCGCAAATGCCTTCATGAGCGTGGCTTTGTTTATAAAGAAATCTATTCATATTTTTTGAGCGGTGTTACACCGGAAGTTCAAAACAGTCCTAAAGTAAACCCAACTCTTATTCGCCCATTTGAGCACAAATGGAAAGTGCATTATGGGAGCTGTCCGTTTTCCGGTTTTATTCCAATTGATAGGTAAGTGGTTCCTTTGGTAAATTTTGAGAGGGATGACAATGTTCGAACTCGATCTCTTTACTCGACAACTGAGCTTACTTTTTATTTCATTTTCCGATTTACGCGTACGCATTGCTGATCCTAGCACTGAGTTCGTAAGACGCTTGTCACATATAAACAAACTGATCCTCAAGCTCACTGTTGAGTACTCAGTAACTCGTCGATAGAGCATCGGAGCACGAAATCTGAAGGGCAGGGGTTTGATACTTCGTAGGGCACTAAGATTTTTCTTTGCTCTACACACGTGAAAAGACGAACAACTCTCTCGTTACGTTTTAAAATTCGTGGCTACGCGAAGCGTACAAACGAGTTTTAAGTTGTAGGTGTTAAATAGATGTATTAGTGGATGAATAACTTTCATCTACAATACAATAAACAGCGTCTTTTAAAATTGATTCAATTATTTTAATCAATGTATCATGTCTAAATACATATATATCTATATCTTTTTTTTTGGTTGTTTGTTTATTTTTTTCATCACAGGCATAAGCTCGAAATTAAGAAATGCATAACAAAAGTTTGTAAGGAAAAACTCAAGGAGTTGGTGAAACATTTCCAAGGCTTCGTTAGAAGTAAAACGAAACATCTTCCAATACAGGTGCACATTAATGAAATGATATCAAGGTTATTGCAATGTACCAATGCTTTCCTTACACTATGTATGCAGAACTCTTGGTTTGTTTTAGTTCCGTTTACTTATGGTCCCGGTCAGACAATCCATTTTGTAACCTCCTGATAATTCCCTATTGAACTTTGCACCCTCATCAATCTGATCGGTTATGAATGACCTTATCACTCTAAGGACAAATGAAATACTTACTCTCTTCCCGGCAACACGAATAACAACCGAAGTTTATTCCTTAGCGAGGTTGTAAGTGACTTGTTGACATCACGCCCTTGCACACGGTCGCCTCAAAAGGCGACATCGCCTGGTGCACTTAGCGATAATCAATGATGAAATTCTAAATTTTGTTTCAAGTATAGAATGGTAAGTAATCCATTCTGTAAAAATGGCCCTTTGTGTTTCGACGTTTCACCTTTCCGTTTTCTTCTGTTAAGAGTATAATAAAAATGAAAGGAAAAAAGAACTTTGCATACTCGTTATTTTTAGGTGACATTTTGGGAGGGAGACGCCCTGGACCTGTGTCGCAATGGTCTTCCAAAGGATGCCGTCTTCGATATAATCGACACAAGTAACCTCAGTGACCATGTTGGATTATTGAACATTCTAGTATGTTGCACAGACAGATTGAAAGAGTAAGTTGTTCCTGAACTCGATCTGATAAATGTGCGTATGTTTTCGGTCCAAAGTCTTTTTTTAATCCTATTTAAAATTCAAATTTTGTTCTCTGACCGAGAGATTTTTTGAAATGAAGGCCAGATCAGTCCCAGTTGTTTACATCCACCATGCTATGGAGAGCTTCCGGTCTATCCAGTCTTCAGGAATACTTAGAGTCGAGCCTTGGAGTACGACAGAGTTTGTTTCCCACTGTTCTCGGGCTCAAACTTGCGGAGGACTTAGATCTCGGAAGGAGGTATGTTATAACCTAATCTGGCTTTACCACTTTCCTGCTCACTATGCCAGTCCGCCTTTATGTTTCCTCACTTGTACTTTGTTAAATCTGTACTTGAGGCAAGTAGCCCACCCAGCTGGCGTTTATCCTGGTTTCCATTGCATGAAGTGGCTAGGAGTATTAATATTCTCCACTGGGTGGAATGCCTGTCCACCATCGGGCTTCCCTGATCTTCCGCCGGTATCCTCTCTTGGTTGGAGAGAAACACTATGGGAGAAAAGAGCTTGCTTAAGAACGCAACACAATGATCCGTGTAGGTCTCGAACCCAGACTTCTCGACCGGAGTACAGCACGCTAACCATAAGACCACCGCGACCCCCACCCTGCGCACAGTTGTTTTCTATATGTCTATTTGTTTGTTTTTTCTTCTTCTTCTTCTTCCCATCTATCTATCTTTTAATTTTGTTAACTGGCACCAGCTTAAGTCATTAGGGCACACAGTCCCTTCTCCATGGACAGTAAGTACCTTATGGAAACTTTCACCGACCAGTAAATTCGGCCTTTTAGAGAGGTCATTGTTAACTTAGCCATGTTATCAATAATCGTTTGTTATTTTCAGTGACATAATGACTCTGAATGAAAGTCGAAGAATAGAAGATCGAATGGTTTGGGTAAAAACCGAACGCGAAAGTTCGCCGATCACTCTACGTAAGTCCTTTAAGGTATAATTTAAAGGGGAATCCCTTTCAGCTGGTCTCTCGAGAATAACCGTCTCCATTATTAGTTCAGATGACTCCGAATCATCTAAAGACTACTGCAAAATGCAAAGAAATACATTCCACTCAACCCAAACTTCCTCCTTTCTCTAAAATATTACTTCAGCGTTGCAGGGGCTCCACTAATTCACCTTCTCTTATTCCAACCAAAAGTCGATGAAGAGGTCTGACTTCTCATGCACTTTGATACCATCAAAGATGCTGAGACAATGTTATTTCTCCTCAGTTCGTTCCCCAGATGTTCTCTCTGCACTTAAGTCAGTGGCAGCCAGATGCTTTAGACTCCCTTCTGCTAATGAACGTTGTCTGCAACTAAGTGGCGTGACCCTCTCCTCCCCTATGACATTTTTCATGGCGTTTTTGCTACTTGCAGTAACTTTCGAGGAGAAAGGTAAGTTGGGATTACTTATAAAAAGACAAAACAAGAGAGTTTTCCAATCAGGAGCCATTCTTTGAGAGAAATGTTTACACCTTTGCCCCGATATATTTCAAACTAAGATAGGCTGTTAACAAATGGTTTATTCAGCTTACATCTTCTTTATACCTTTTTTCGATTGAAAATCACTTGAAGTTGTTGGCGGCTCTGTATTCATGAAAAACAAATTTATTTGCCTTACTTACGAGCTTGAGTTGGCCTCTTTTTCTCATCGATTATCACACAGACAACTATTTGCATATCTCTGATCCGAGCAGTATGCCGCATCAATTTTACATATGATCAGAACCAACTTTGCAACTTATTGTCTGCAATTCAGTACTGAGGCCCTCAATTGGTGCGCAGTTAGTCATACCTTCAAATCTCTTCCCGACTCAGATTATCTGTCTTTTTTTCGCCTTTGCAGCTGCGTTTATTCTGTTTTTATTTTTTCCCTATGTTACAGCCGAACAGGTTCTTTGCTTTATCGAAGAATGCTTACCATCCGTAAGACTTTTTAAAAAGCGAACTTTCAGTAAGCTTTGCTGCCTTTCGTGGAATGTTCTCAAGTGTTTGGCTGGAGTATGCCCAGGTAAAACTGTTTTCAAATGTTATACTTTATATTCCTTGATATGTTGAAAAGGATCAAGGTCTTAGCTTTAGGTTTTTCGCAGGCACGGTTCTCAAAGCAGAAGTTCGTGTCACGTTTCCAATCAGTTCTCTGTCACGCAACACCCCAGTCATGCAAGCTGTCTTGTTTGAGGATCCAACCGATGCGAGGTTTCTTCAAGTGTGGCCTCTTTCACAGGTGAGAAGGAAATGCGTTTTGATTCGAATAACAACTTAGTATTTTAATAAAATTTTCTTTTTCTGGACTAGTTGGAGCAGAGGACATTTCACCGCCCTGTGCATTTGTTTTACAACAATGTGCGCTACGATGTTGACCAGGGAACTGTAAGCTTGTTAATGCTTGAAGCGGATTGGAAAGCTCTTCATGAAGAAACGGTTCTTATTTTGATAAGTTCTTCTGTCAACTGCACTTCACAAGCTGTAAAATTGAAACCTGAAACAAGAAGCTCCACGAAAACTTCTTGCTGTTTCAGGAATGAAACAGTCATGATGACAAGCAAAACGGATCACGAAATGGTAGAGTTAAGTCAAGCAAAAAGACGTATGCGCAAATCCCGTAGGTCGAAAAAGAACTTGTCCTGTGTCAGAATTAGCTGCGTCAGTGGTCACGTGGGCAACGGACTCCAAAAGTATGACAGCTGCTACCGTCTTGAGATCCTCTCCAGTCAAGATATTATCATTCAAAACCCTGACCACGTGCACAAGAGTACAGACTGCTTAGTGGCTGAAGAGAGGCAAAAGAAAGCGCCTTCGAGTCTCGTCCCATCAGGTATCGATTCTCCGTTTGATCAGTTAGAAGATGAAGTTTCACCAGAGACAAAAAACTCTGATGTTGTCATTATTCATAATGATGGTCACGCAACCGAAGATGACAGTGAAAACGAGCTCCTATCGACAACCGTGGAGCGAGTGGATGACATTACACAATTCGGCCTGGGGTTACCTGATGTGACATTGGTGTCGCGAGAGGTTTTAAAAACAGACCAGCTTGAGGTGGGAGGATCTACTTTTTATTTATTTCTTTTACTGATCTATTTACTATGTTTTCAACGAGCGAATTTCATGACATGAACAATTTCTAGCAGTTATTGGGGAGAAATTTCGGTTGGTCGGTCGGCTGGTTGGTCGATTCCTGTATACATCCGGAAATTTTCTTCACATTGTAGTATTGAAACGCTGAAAATCGTATGACCATCGCGGGCTCAAAAGGTTTTTCCTCAGTGTCAGTGAAAGTGGAGAGTATTTATCACCACTTCGGTGAATATTTGTTAGTTATCGATGTGGGCTTATGGGCACTGATAGGTGGAGTTTTCGAAAATATGCCTAACATGTTAGCCGGCTGTGCCAGAAGTTCGCCGTAACCATAACATCTTGTAATTCCATACTCCTCTACCCTTTGATTTCTTCTATAGCTAATTGTGGTGATAATCTTTCTTTTTGATATCGCTATACTTTTTAAACACAGCTATTGGCTTTGGAAGAACATGCCATGTGCTACAATGCAGACATTCTGATTCTCAGAACAGCGGACATAACAGGTCCTAAAGTAGAATATTACCCGACGGACTTGCCCACTGCAGTGGAAATCTCTACTGACTGTCAAGGGTAAATGCAATCTTCCCAAATCGAAAAGCTATCTGATAAAGGTTTCCTGTTGTGGGCCTGGAGATTCGTGCTGGGGCACGTTCCTTGGCCACTCCTATTTCTGTTCAGTTGGTCAGTCAGTCAGTCAGTCAGTCAGCCAGTCATTTAGTCAGTCAAGTACAAAGTCAGTCGGTCCGTCAGGAACACTGAAAGGGCATTGCCAGAGTTTAGCCAAGGGTTCCAATAATGTTTTTGAAAAGTGGCGACCGATGGTGTAATAGACCGCTGCACCCGATATGACAAAACACAAACACGATAGCGTACGCTAAACAGACGGCAGAAAGAACGCCGGTGGCTGGCTTTTATTGAAACCCCTTTTTTTAGTTGTGGGTGGAGGGATTTTGGTGGTGCCACAATAAAACTTGCATGACTCCCATAAGGCTCCGTAATATTCTTTGGACCCTTCATGTGTAGTTAATAGGCCATTTTACAGTTGTGTACTTAGTTGCCAAGTCTTTGATTTGGAGTGAGGCTGAAGGTGACCTTGTTGCGATTGAAACCAGTATCTAGTTAGCATGATAACAAAGTAATTTGCATTTTAAAAGCAGCAAGGTTTGTATCATAACAAGGTCACCCTTAGCCTCATTCTTGTTCAAAGGCTTGGTAACCAAGCACACAACTGTAACATGGACTAATGGCAGTCAATTTTCTAGAGTCCCCCCTCCCCCTCTTTATATTCTGTTGGCGATAACTGATTCCCCCCTCAGTTCCCACTGAGAACTATGTGATCTCCCAAAAATCCCCCGCCCCCTACGGTAAGACTTAAACGATCATATTTTCCTTAACTTTAAGGAAACCCCTACGACTTCATTTTGCTGCACCCGTGGACGGGAGGACATCTAAAGTTCAGCTATTAAAGGATAAAAAGAGGCTTAGATGCCATTTTCCTAAGAGTGACCTGGGTGTGTATGGACCAGTTTGTATCAAGCGAATTCCGTACCTGGACTTTTCAAATCTTCCAATATGGACTTCAAGAGAAGATCTCAAGTATGGCTAGCAACTATATATGTATCCGTATACTTAACAGCTGCAATTACTCTTTCAGTTCTATTACCCACAGTCTTGTTAACGATATATTTCTTTCAAATTTACGTCAGGAAGGAAAACTATTCAAAAGAGATAACAAAAACCTTTGTTGGAGTAACTTGAATGCCCACTACAGACGCCCTACCTATCAAAGACCTCTTTTCAAATCATCTTCTCCATCAAATTTCGTCCTAAATATCTAAACATCCTTGCTGCGTGAATGTTGCAGGCCTCTCTTTCTGCAATGATTTGTTTCATCGCAAGGATTTTAGGGGACCTCTTATCATCTCCAAACAAACTATGATTTTAAAATATCATAGTGAACAAATATTTTTGCTTAGAGGCCAGAATGTCCGTTTAAAGGTGAGGAACGAAAAGGAAGTTTTTTGCCGGTCATATTCAGCCGTTTACATCTTTTTTTTTTCTTTTTTGTTGCAGTATCTTAATGGATTTTTATCCTATGGATGAGGACAGAGCGGCTCCACAAGACAGAAAACCCTTTGAAAATTTGCAAAATGCTTTGCAATGTGTGGTCAGGTCGTTTGTTGAATCTCCCCAGGTAATGAATAATACGAATTCCCTTTCGCTTCCCTGTTTTCTTGCCCATTTTCTTACATAAACGTTTTTTTTAACCTTTTTGTTATGTTGAGAAGTTCTCATTAATGTTACAAAACTGCCCTGCGCATATAACTGGAGGGTTTCAAAACTGAAATAAACAGGACAGTTTTGTTAAGCTTTCTGCTGAGATGAAAGCTCCGTGGAATCTATTACAATTAATGCTTAGTAAAGATCCAGTAACAATGATAGCTCAAAAGTGTGCAACTGAGTTAATCGCTCGAAGTCTGGTCTAGGGAACCAGGGATCTAAAACCTGAACTTACCCAGGTTTTTGCATGAGTACACACAACACATTTATTCTCCCAAAATTCGTATATATCACAAATTACTTTTTTTTTTCCTATTGCTCATAAATTAAATAAGAACATTTTCCTAATTTTCGTGGTTTTTGAATACCACTGTTAACCAGCAATCACTCCTCCCGAAGCTCTGTGAATGCAAATAGGAAAAGCCATGTTGTCCATAATACCCTGACCTAAACTAATGACTTATTGGACAATAGTCGGATATGTGCGTGTGAAGGCCGACAATACACTACCAGAGAAAATAATGCCCCCATTATTTCCTCTTGTACACCTATCAAACGTGATTTCAAGTCTTTGCTTTGGTCTCAATCTGTAGGAAAATAATTGTTTCACAATTCACGAGCCACGTGATGCAGGAGAAGATTGTCCGCCAAACTTCACCATTGTCGTGCAAAACATTTACTGTCACCAACAGGTCCCACTGGCGAAAGTTCTCTTCTGTGACCATAGAGAGATACCCTTTCCCTTAGAGGGCAACGGAACTGCTACTACAGCTACTACTTTAAAATACAAAGAGCTTTTACAACAAGTGATGGCGGGCAGAAAGGAAAGTCCCATGGTGCAGGTCACAAAAGAGGTAACAAACTGAAACAAATTAAGTGTGCCGTGGTTTCAACTCTGAATTTGAATAGCTGAAGGGAGAATAGCTGTTTTTTTTTTCTCGTTAGCATTTAACCCTTCGTGTCAAAAGTCTTGTGTTCGAACCTGGCCGAGTGTTATGCTACTGGGCAAGTAACGTAACTCTCTTAGTGCCTGCCCATCAGGATGGTTACCAAGCCGGAAAAATGTCAAGGAAATCTAAGCATATCTCCGGGTAAAGACCCTAATTAAACTGTCATGCCATAATGAAAGCGTAGCAATACTCTAAGAAATCATTCATTTACAAAAATCGGGATAAGCCTCTGAAGCTACGCGAATTAAAGCATATCTTGCTGCCTTTCAACAAAGGTCATAGTATTGCTTAGCTTTATCCCCCAGTCTCCTCCGCCCCTGCACTTAGTATAACCTATGAAACGATATTTCCTCTTTTGTAGGGTCAAGTTCTATTGAAAAGACTACTGCATTCTAATGCAAAACGCTTGAAGCAAACTGCCACACATGACCCAGTATGGATGGACTCATTCCTGCAGCTGAGATTCAGCAGCGATAATATTTGCTATGACATTCTGGAATGAATTCACAAGAGATATTTCTAAGTAAACCTAGTTCAGACTTGATAGTTTTCAACAATTTGCGGACCAGTTGAAAACTTTGGTGACGCATTATTGCAATGAACTACTGCGAACTTGATATTTTTAAAATCATTTGTGCGATGGAAATGTCAGCATAGTTAAAATTTTGCTGTTTTGAAACTTAACAACATAGTTGTTCTTGACTTCTTTAATCATATAATTTTTTTAATGGAATGGTCTCAGCAAATAATTATTTATTGCTGGTTTGGCTTTTAATACTGAATACTAAATTACTTGATCATGATCAAGTCTTGTCTTTCCACTTTTGAAATAAAATGTCCTTGGATTTGGGGTTATCACGTGCATTAGTTCTTGTCTGTAGCGATTTGTTTGGCCGGGCGAACGGAAAATGTAAACATTGCGCCTTTCCAAGAGATTGCCACCTACAATCATCTCATGGCTTTCCATAATTAAATAGTCATACCATAAATATGCGCATTCAGTACTCATTCCTTGCTTACGACTTTTGTGTTACAGAAAGCAAAGACAACACTTATTTTCCACATCTATTTGGTTTTTTTGGTATGTTCTAGCAAAATATTTGTGGCTATTATCTTACGAATTTTCCTTACATTCTGCAAAGGTACATTTCTCTCAAGTTTTACGTTTCCTCCATGATTTTGTCCACTTCTTCCCAATCAATGTGACTTCTGAGACTGCCACTACTCTCCGACATATTTCCCACGGCCTCGTCCACTTCGGCCTGGAATAACAATACCAATTAGACAAATAAGAACTGCTTAAAATTCAACTCAAGCTTTGACTCAATTTGTTTCCACTAAGCTCAGCGATTGGCTGAGACGAAACTCAGTCATCCTGTTTTCACGCGCTTGGAAAGGACCGATCTTCTGAGGACGAGACCAAATTTTTAATGGTTCTCTTGAACAGGCCTATAATTTTCATATAAAATCGCCTACTTTAAATAAACCAACTTCAACATATTTCCACGGAATAAGGAAAGGAATAGCATTGTCGTTAATGGCCGATCATATTTCTGATCGTTCGGGTGATGGTTTTCTTTAAAATGATCGATTAAAAGAGACAGTGACTGATATTGTGACGATCAAAATGAGCAGAAGCCATCCCCAGCTTATCTTGTGGGCCAAGTAGACAAGTTACTAACTCCTCCAATTTCTAAGAATTGAAGACGTTTAACAACTATCTCACAACTTACCAAGAGCTGTGCAACATCCTCGGACGTGCGCATGCTCTCTCTAGTATTCCACGGGCTGACGTCATCATCAAATTCTGACAATGTTCTTCCGCCGGTGGGAACCGCAGGCTCAGTATTCCGAGGTGTGTCGATCTGATATTCACTACTTCGCCAGTTATCTAGAAAGGAGAGATGAATCAAAGGAAATATGAGGAATAAGCTACCAAACCGCGAGATAGATGTGTGTAGCCACGAAAATAAATGCACAGTCAGGGAATCTTCTTTCAAAGAAGAAGAGGAAAACAAAGTTGGAATGACTCTACGTTAATTTTTTCATTCACCATCTGGTACGGAAGTCTAAATTCTCAGTCTTTAAGGACTGACGAGTAACGAGTGGCTTCTGCACGGGCTAGTCCAACAAAATTTGGAAGGCGAGGTGACTTCTTAGTTAGAGCGCTCGACCCTGGATGTCAGTGCCCGTTCGAGTGGTGATTTCTTGACCCGCAGAAACTCTCACAGTGCTGTTCTCCACCCACGGATGTAAATGGGTGTCAGTGAATTTTCAGGAAAACCTAATTCATGCTGGAAGTAGGGAGGGGAGAGGGAGTGTCAACAATGATGGAAAAAATCCCATCCAACAAGAGGATAGTAGTAGCAAAACTCCTGATCGTCACATGCAATGGGGGATAGGACAAGCTCAGGCGGTGTCAGCCACAACCTGGTGTGCGCGATGTCGCCTGAGAAAATATTGCATATTTACCTTTTTCGATGCCGGAATACCCTCGGGTCGGTCTTGCGAAATCACTCCTCTGAGGCTGAAAAAAAGAGAAAACGAATTTTCTTTCCATTCTTCTTATGGACCTCATACTATCAAGTTATTTATTCCGAAAAAAAGGATCCCTTCAAAATCATTTGATTGTGTAGTTTGATCGTCTAGATGAGCGTATCCCAAGAAGAACTGAGGTCATCGACAGTGACTGATGTTTCGACAACCTAAACAAAGTAATCCTCAAAATCGACTCTGACCGCTGACACTATTGCGCGTGGGTTGATCAAGAAGTAATTTACCGAAAAAAGAATAAGTGTTTTCTTAATTAAAGTTTCGTCGTCCTTCCCCCACTCCACTTTAAAAAACTCCTGGATCCATCTCTAGGTCAGTTGTTATTATTGACAAAAGAACTTTCCGGGACAACTCTCACGCGGACATTCAAAACCACACGATCAACCGTTACTCCTATATTCAAATAATTCACATATTTTACTGTACCTTAGCATCAGCGCGCCAGTTAACATCGGACAACAACTCCCTCAGTTCATCATCACCTTCTAGCAAGCTTTCGATTCCCTCAAGCCTCTCGTGATCCATGGTGGAGCCATCATCTGGAATGTCTTCTATTAGACGATCTATCTCGGCTAACGTTCTAACCCCAGGGAGGAGATGGTCAGTCTGGCGTGTCCTGGAGAAAGTTCTTCCCAAGTGATCTGTGCCTCGAGGCTGATGCGAAAAGCCATACCCACCTATCCCCTCAAGGGGAAGCTTGCGCCTAGATGCTTCTCTAGCTTTAACCCTCTTTGGTTGATTCTTTGCGAAACTCCGATACGTTTGTATCGTCACAAATTCGGCGCCAGTCGGAGAATTCGAGCGCCAAAAATCGTCCTCAGCAGGTAGATTTTCTTTGACCAATCTACCACTTTTAACGTCAATACTTCCTTCTAGCAGATCCGAAAGGTTTTCCTGAACTGAAACAGATGGGCTGCTTGTCTGTAAAAAATCACGACGAGAAGTATTTTGAGATCTAACTGAAACCTGAGCTTTCCTCGAGAACTCTTCAGGATGCGGCGAATGAACGAGAGATTGTTTTTCCTGCACACGATTTTCTTTCTTGTTCACTGGTTTCTCCACGAAATCTTGTCGCACCCGTTTACCTCTAGACTTTGCTTTCGGTAAATTTTTGTATCGATCACTTGTCCGCTTCTTTTTCTCCGCAAGTGAAGTTGAGTAGCGCGTGTTCACGCTGCCTGCGTATCGAAGGTTTGGTTTACGATCCGTCGGCTTGGGAACTGGCTCGGCTAGCATCTCAGAGAGAAGATTGGACGCCGATTCGATCCTTTGTTTTTTATACTGGTCTTCGTTTTTCCTGTGAATTAATTTTAAAATATGGGTGAGGGCGAAAACTTCTGGGCTGGTTCGTTCAAAATCCCCAGATTGATATATTTGGGATGCTACTCCAATTTTTTAACACAAAACCAAAAAAACAAAAATGCAGTATAGTCTAAATAGGGTGAAGGCAACAGTTCAGATGCGATTACTGTTAGACGTCTTGGGAAAGGGTTCCAGGGATTTCTGTCGAAGATTATAGCCAAAGATTAGTGACCAATTTTGACCCTTTTTTTTTTTTTCTTTTTTTTTAGTATTTCATGAAAATTTTTCATCTTCTATATATTTAACTCCCCACCGACCCACCAGCAATCAGTTAAAAAAAAGAAAAAAAAAAGGCCTGAAAACCACACAACTTGAGTCCTAATGTACACTTCTATTGAAGAGGAAATCCAAAGGATGTGTAACAAATCGCTTTTAGAAAACCTGCCTTACAATCGTAACAAACAAACTTCATTCAAAACTTGACAGTTGTGAAATTCCACTTGTGCCACTATCAAGGTTAATGCGAGACAAAGAGCCAAGAAGAATAAAAGACAATGAATCGATTTCTTACCTGCGTTTCGCGCTTCTCTCCTTGTCCATCAACTTAATCTTTTTAAAACTTGTAGAGCCCTGGGAACGAAAAATATGTAAATATGGTTCAAATACTACAGGGTTTAATACTTGCACAGACATTTAAGCCCAGTCTTTCTCGCAGCCGTTCTTTAGCGCGTTCTCTAAGGAAGCGTTGCGTGACATCTCAAGGAACGGCTGCGAGAGAGACTCGCATACACCACAGAAAAAAGTTGCAGTCTGCATTCAAGACTGATTAAGTTGGCTACCGGAACGTATCCGGTTTCGGCTTGTAATGCTCGATAACCAGCTGCTGTTCAGGAAATTAGCCCGCGCTCATCCTGCCGACGACTTCTTTCTCGGGTCAAGTATCCCGAGAAAGGCCCCCATCCCCTGCATTTCGTCAGGCGACCTTAACAGTTTGTCGGTACCCATTTGTAACCCTGGGAGAGTATATGCACAGTTAGGGTAAAAAGTCTCGTATGAGACCACAAAACAAAAAGACCTAGGACCTTTCGATCCCGTGACCAGGATACTCAAGCACTGCATATTTGCAGTGTGACAGTAAAAATATGTAAAAAGATGTAGCCGGGGAAGGTCACCTCCAGAAAGATCCTCAATTGCTTTCGTTCGCCGCGTTCTCAACACAATAACAAGTCGTTTATAGGTACCTGAGTGGGAGACAAAAATGGTTGGTATTCCTGCGCTCTCAGCTCTTCCTGCCGACCTCTCCACTCCGCTTTTCTCTCTGAACGTTTTTGGTTCATCCATTCTTTCAGGTGTTGCCTGGCATCGGGGCTGGGGTCCCTGCTACAAGAGGTAACATTCATAACATTAGAAATAACAATAATAATAATAATAATTTTTACAATAAGAACAAATAGTTATAATCTGGCTTGATTTCCTTAATATATTTCCAAGGATAGTTAAAGATTTTACAGACGACGATGATTACAAATGATGAATACAGGCGAAATTTCTAAAGAAACATAATCCGTTACGCACATCCTGCAAAAAATCTCATGAATTTGATCACTGAACCTACCGACTTCGTGTCGCATCTTTAACTTGGAATACCTCTCTCAGTTTATCTTGTGATAATGTCAATGACTCCAGCTGAGACAACGGTCGGGCTTTTTCCTTCCTAAGAGTATCAAATAAAAACAGATACTTTTTTTCACGAGTCCATATGGACATACAGTAGAACCCCCACTGACTCGAACCAACCCCCCCCCCCCACCCCGAACGACATCCGATTTCTTTTGATCCCGTTTTTTTGTGATTTACTATCAGCTGGCTCGAACCCCCGCTGACTCGAATCATTTGTTTGTTTGCCTTGGGAGTTAGAGTTAGCGGGGTTCTACTGTATCTCAATCTACAAGGAGGTGCATCACAGAAAGAAAGGAAAACTGCTAATCAGTTCATTGGAGCAAAAAAAGTATAACTGACTCGTACCTAAAATTAAGTGAACTTTCGCTACATTTACCTCGTTTCATCACGTGGCATGGATGAAGGTACTCCACGCTTTTCGACAGATGCCCCTTCCTTAGGTTGAAAACTCTGCTCAAGTTTGGATTCATCATCCACTTCTCGATTTGAAGCGATTTCTTCACTTTCACCAGAAGCGACCATCAAATCTTCGCCTTGTTCCTCCTGACGTAAGCCTTCCTGGTCATCCTGTTCATCTCCTCCACTGCTAAGTTTTTCCTCAATGTCTTCTTTTTCATCCTTAATATCAGCTTCGGAAGCTACATCCTCGGTCTTATCTACAGGGTCTGCATGGACATCTATGCTGTCTTCCACACCTTATCGATACACAAACAAGCATATAAACGTCAATAATAACCATATAAGACGGCAGCCTTGTAATGAACCGGAGACGTTCTAAGAAAATTCGCTAGGAAAAAGAAACTTATACATTTTTTTTTCATACAATGTCAGAAAAGACTTTCCAAATATGGCTCAATCTCGAGGAAATCAATTAAACGAGTGATCAATCAGTAATAAATAAATCCAATTTTTCTGTTCGTAGGCAAGGCCCATGATAGTGTACCTTCAGAATGTGACGCCATTGTAGTTGGTGGTTTACCAACCGCAGCATTTATTTTCCTTCTCCAAGGAGCAGTGTCGCCCCATCTCCGAGGCTTTTCCCTACGCGAACCAACGGATCCTCTTGAAGACATCACTTCAGCAGAAGATGCTCTTGACGATGGATTAAGTACTTCATCAATACTTTGAATAGCAGAGAGAAGCTAAAACAAGCAAACAAACGAAAACTTAGTCTTATATAAAGGTTTGGCAAAGTCGTGGAAGGTAAAGTAAAATACGATTAACAGCATAAACTAAAACCTCGAGATTTACCTTAAAAACAAACAAACAAACAAACAACAACAACAATGACAAAAATTATTTGACGTTTCAGTCCTCCCGTTATTTTGAAAATCCGAACTTTGCCTGCCTATTTAACTAAAGATACATAAAAAAATTAGAATTATTCGTCAACTAGGAAGGCACTCAATGCGGGGAAGTCTAGTCGAGGATACTCTCGGAAGGAAGCTGTCTCGCCTCAAGTTCAGTTCGCATCCTTAGGAGAAGTCTCCTACTTTTAAAAGAAGCCGAGCGAGTACTTCCCCCATTTCAACAGAGTTCGCTCTTGGTAATTCAACTCTAAAAACTCGACAACGCATCACTCTTGGATATATCCTAGTCATATAACGGTACAGAAAACAACGATAAGCTGGTTGGGAATGGGTAAAGTCATTTTTAAGGCCTCTGTTACGAAAATGAATATCCCTGACATAACTTGAAAAAAAAATTAGACAAAAAATTTTGATGAATTATCTGGCAAGTATCAACAGACCAACCCGTTTCCCACTCAGAGTTCTTAAAACAATGGCAAATCTTACTACGCGCGAGCTTTTGAACTCTCTATCCATGTTCTGTGTGATTTGATCCATTGCTTCAATCCTCTCACTCATTTCCTTCATTCTCTCGTTAAGGACTTGTGTAGACACTGCTCTCGCACTTGACCGAGAGGCTGCTGGAAATGGTGACGGGTAGAATCTGAAATTGAGAAGAAAAAATACCTTGGTAGTCGATAGCTTATTATGCTGTACAAGGTGACTCTAACTATCCAGTCAGGGAATAAGACACTGTTAAGTAATTCAAATGGAAGTTTCAATGAGTGGCAAAAGTTTGGCAAGTGCTTACACTTTTTGACTTCTTTTTTTTTTACTCTCCCCCACTTCGATGTTGCCTCGTGTTAACAAAATGTACAATATTTTCCCGAACTTTCAAGTAACTTATCAGAGATGAATAATAAAATTTGTTTGTTATGTTGAGATGGAGGCTTGTCTACTACTTTTGCCACTCGTTACAGTCGTATCAAAAGTTCGAAACGGGGATGAAAATTCCAAAAGACAGGTACAAGCAGGAAGTTCCCATTAGTGAGCCCCTGACCTCGCTTCAATAGTCTACAAGCTCTAGATCGCACGTAACTACATATCCGTGGCCTCTATGATAACAAAAATATTGTCGCCAAGTTGAATAGGCGTTTGACCCTCAGCTCGCCATGCGAAAATGAGTGTTCAACATGCTTCAAGTCGGGTAAAAGTTAAAAACTAAAAAAAAAAAAGAGTCGGTCATTTTTTGTTTCTTTGTTTGCCATGACGTGCCAACTACTTTTGCCGTTCATTGTATCTAACAGTACCTTCATTTGCAACTGTTTCGTTGAAGAAAAGGGGTAAGTTTCTTAAGAAAATGTGGTAATACGTCGGTGAAGGAGTATAACAAGATAGTTTCGTTTAATCAACCGAGTTGATAGTGTAAATTGGCCACCGTAAAGAGTTTCAAAGCTGACGATTCGAGCGTTAGCCCTTCGTTAGAGCGCACTTCAACAATCGCTTTGACAAATGGTAACGCTCAAAACATCAGCTTTGAAACTCTTTACGGTGGCCAATTTACATTATCAACTCAGTTGATTAAACCAAATCATCTTGTTTTGTTGAAGATTGTTCTAACTTTTTTTCCTGCGGATAACACCCTCTTAGGTGACCATACAAACGAAAGCTTCTGAGTAGTACTTCCTTATGTTGTATCGTATCATGCCACACGATGTTGTCCTAAATTTAAAGTCTGTCGATTAAATCCTGGGGTTCAGTTGTTCCAAGGGCGGATGACGTTATCCAACGGATAAATTGATATCCCGTGGGTACGCGTTAACTACGCCTACTGCCCTATCCACCCATGGAGATTTATCCAGTAACAGCGAACAGCTAAGCCGTAGTATATTGCGCAGTATTTCCATACGACTGACCTTTGCACAGGATCGTCCGTAGAGTCCATTATTTCTACTGTAAGCTTATCAGGTCCCTCTGTATACTTCACGTTCTCTTGTTTATCTTTATACTCCTCTTCTTCCGATTGGTAGCTTTGATTTTCTGATGATACTTGACAAAAGAGGAAAACGACACAAAGGAAGTTAATTAAGAACATTTATTAGTATCACAATGCACATTCTGTTCCACGCATAGTGGCGCGCGCAAACCCTTAATTTACCGTGCGCACTCAATCGCGTAACACGGAGGCATGTTGCCAGAAATCCATCGAAGAGAAAGAAATTTCTTCCTAAACGAACCCCATGACCTATCATTTTTTTCCATAAAATTTTTCTCACTTTTTCAATGTTCTGTAAACATTACGATAGAAAATTACGTTAGAAAATTTATGTCAGGAATGGCATTTGTGGTTATCTCTCGTAAAAGCAAAGTTTGTGTTGTCGAGATTGTTCACCCGTGGACATACTGGAATCAGTCTTTTGTTCCATATCTTACGCCAAAGCTCAGCTTCCTTTTAATGTGAATCGCACAACGAATGGATGAAATATACATGGGGTGAGAGGTTCAGATGCAAGGATTTAACCTTTACACTCCCAAGATCTCATTAGTGAGTCTCCTCACTATCTGTCATGCAATTCATTAAATGCTGGTTCAGAGAATATGGTATTTGATCGAATAATAATCCCTTAACTGGTATATCTATTGATTCTCATCACTTGTCTGCTTGATCGTACTGAAATTGAAAGGAGAAATTCTGCCTTGGTCACTCATGGGAATTAAAGGGTTAATAGCAAACTTAAGCCTTAGACCTCCTAACCAAGCCTGAAACATTTTCTTTTCGCCTGCGCATCATAGCGAACAAACAGGGAAAGTCAAAATCTTAATTAAAAATCTAATGACAACCCAACAAGAAGCTAAACCGCGAAAATACAGTGGCTATGTGGGCAGTGTTTAATTTAGGACGCCTTTTTGCGTCATCGACGCCTGAGTATTCTATTCTGACGCAAAATGAAATGATTGTGGAGTCATACTGACGCAAAAATGTCAGGCGTTCCATGCAATTCCGAGAGAGACTGGAGCCTACTTCGACGTTTTGCTTACATTGCTTTACCGATCGATTTACCCTTTGTTTGCTGACTTTGTTCTTGTGTTTACGTTTCATTATAAAACGACAACAAAAGGTTAGTGTTTTTTAAGCAAAAGAAAATAGCAGTTGAACCTGAAAATCAAGAAGATAGGCTGGATGAGGACAGTGAAGCTGAAGGGGTCAGTTCGACAACAAGTCAACCTCCAGAACTTCAAGAGCCAACGGCCTCAAACTCAACGAGTACTGTGAGAAAATTCCGTCTTGCGTGGAAAAATGTATACCCTTGACTATAGTATGACGAAGAAAAAGGCATGCCATGCTCAATTTGTGTGAGGCACAGAAAGAACAACGCATTTACCAAGGGAACGAATAACTTTCGATCTTCTACGCTTGAACGGCACGTGGCTCACCACAGGCAGACAACCCTGTGGGTTTGAGGCCACGTGACGTCAGTTATTTGATACGCTAGTTGAACTCTTACATTGTTTGCAATTTGCAACGGTCGATCTCGGCAAGACGAAAGTGATCCCAAGAAATGTTTCATAAATACCGCAAATCGTGACTTCATCCCCAAAATTCGCTTAATGACAGTCCGATAAATAAAGTTCAATTAAATTCGTTTTTCTGTGTTGTCTCGAGTGATTTTGCGGGGTTTTGAGGCGATCAATTCCTCACTTTGCACCGATGCCCTTCCAAAGGCAAAGGAAAAACACTATGCGTGCAACTTCCAGGACCGTCTGGGCCGAAAACCTCCAGAACTTCACCGAATTTCTTCCGCTTCCAAATGTCACTCACCTCCCAGCTTCGGGCACGTTAAAATTCGACAAACATGTAAGAGATAAGCCAAAAATCAGTGCAATTGCCCGCCTCTAACCACCTCAAAAGCCTGTTCGATTTCTGACCTTCGCTCATCGCTCCGCCGTCGACACATGATGTGGACCGAAGTGGTCGATCATACGCCTTCGATTAACCGCATTACATTTCAATTTAATCACTAACCGAGCTCAGATTTCACTCGGCCCTCCCCACGCCAGCGCATGGTGTGTCAGTCGAAAGGCGATACAAACCAGCCCTCCCCATAACTATTTACTACTTCCGTTCCGCAACCAGAAAAAAATATTAGCCAATCAGAACGAAGCCACTACTGACACCTCCGTCCTGATTGAACTAATGTTTTTTGCACGCTTTGTGTTTTTCCTTTGCCTTTGGAGGGGCATCAGTGCAAAGTGGGAAATTAATCGTCCCAAAACCCCGCAAAATCACTCTAGACAACGCAGAAACACGAAGGTAAGTGAACTTTATTCATCTGACTGATTTTGGGGATGAAATATTACCTTTTGCGGTATTTATGAAACATTTCTTGGGATCACTTGCGTCTTGCCGAGATCGACCGTTGCAAATTACAAACAATGTAAGAGTTCAACTAGCGTATCAAATAACTGACGTCACGCGGCCTCAAACCCACAGGGTTGTCTGCCTCTGGGCTCACCACGTTCATGCTGACGCCTTAAGAGCCGATGCAAGGTGAATTCCAGCGTGCAGTGAGAGAACTTCTCGATGGAAAAGAAGAGGCAGTGCTGGTTGAATTGAAACCAGTAAACTGGACAGCAGAGGAGTAGTTTCCAATGCACAAGTATGAAAGTCTTGTCTTTCCTTGCACAGTTATAGTGCCAGTACGTAGGTTACCTCAGTCATGGAAAAAAATGCAACTTACAAAAGTAATGTGACGGCGAATAACATGCTGGATTCCATTGCGGCAGTAACACGAAATGGAATTGACAATAAATTGCTCCATTTGAGAGCCTATTCATTGACAAAAGCACTGACATAGCTGTCCACAAAAAGCTTGGTATTTATGGTCGTGTTCTTAATGCGGGACATATGACCCACTTTGACTAAATTCGAGATTGAACACTGTGTAGGGGGGCATTCAGCGTAGTCAAAAGATTTTATAGCTCTTCTAACACTTAACGATTGTAAAAGGATCTCACTTGTTCACAATTATCAGGTGTTTTCGCGCTTGACTTATTCTTCTACGTCGAAAGCAAACACTCGCACCAACGGACTGCATACGAAGCCGGTTTTTGAAAAGTGTGTGTAAATAAAAAAACTACAAATCATGTGAATCTTACCTTTTTCCGATGGAAGCTCAACCTGCTGATCAACAATTTCCTCTCCCTTTCCTTCTTTTTCCGGGTCTATTTCGTTTGCAGACGTCATAGGGGTACTCTGAACTTCCAACCACTGATCATGATCTATATCAGCTACACTAAGGAACTGCCTCCCCCTGGACACCCCAGTAAGCTTTGAAACAGCAGGGGCAACATCACCAGGCTCCCTTCCCTTATCGATTCCTCGCTTAGAGAGAGGTTTGTCAATGACAGTTTCGTCATCATCAACTGGGTGGAGATCTCGAGACCTATCTATCACGTCAACACCCACTTGGTTTTCTTGATAAGGTTTGGGCATTTGAAGGTTCAAAAAGATGTCTGGCGGCAAGATAGGTGCGTGAGATGTCACGTGATCCGAATCAACACCCCCTTTATCCGTTTGAATACCAGACGTTACCAAGTCTCTCCTTGGTAACGGCTGCGCGGAAGCTTGCTCTGTTTGCGAGCTGGAACTAACTTTCAAAATATTAGTTGCACCACGATCGAGCATGCCCGGATGAAGAAAACCCACGGGATCATCCTGGGGAGATCTTCTAACTTCGTCAACTTGAATTCCAATGGTTCTCCGCGGTTGTCGACGTTCGTAGGCCTTCGTTCCTTGTCGTTCATCACCAGTCTCCTGCCGTGCAGTTTCAAAAAGAGACTTCCAACTGGGACTTCCACTGCGATAAGCAGACATTTGCTGATCAACTTCGTGAAGCTTCCGTCCAATTCTTTCTTTCATATGCCGCATAGACGGGGGGCCTGGTATTTCTTCCCCGAATCCTTCGGGCTTGGATTCCTTCTCCCCTCTTTCTTTACCCTTTTTTACGCCCCTGTTTCCTTGGTCCCCGTGCTCCCGGAAAGAAAAAGGTTCTGGACTTTTCTCAACCCGGAAATACTTTTCTTCTTCAGAAACATCCCAAGCCTGATCAGAAATCTCGGATAATTCCAACTCGCTCTCACTCAAGCTAACCTGTTTTTTAGAATCCTTCCTTGAAATGGGTTTCTGTACTGATTGCTCTTTAGCTGATTTTGGTTTCTTAGAAGCTGGTTCTTTCGCCGGTTTTTGCCTCTTAGGAGGTTCTTTATCGACTCTTCTTGCTCTTTTCACGGGTTGCACTGTTATAATCTTTCCCTGAATGGACTTGTTGCGAGAAAGTTTTCCTCCTGGCCTGCTTTTAAAAACGGGAGACGAAGAACGAGGTCTAGTCGGCTTTTCCAAAGCCTGCCTTCTTCTTTGTCTAAAAAGGAAAACGAAAAAAGACGAACTCTAACTCTCCTGTTGCAACTAAACCGGAAAAAATATATTACCCTCTCTTTTCAAAAGTTGATCGTTACCCTTATCCGCTCCCCACTTGTCGAATTAGCTAGCGGGAAATCTAATGTGAGTTTGTTTGGGCAACGCAACAAGCCATTCCTTCCACCCTACCGAGTTCACTCGCATTTGCAACTTAGTTATCGACACAAAATACGCATGCACGTAACTCTCGTTAAATATGCATGTTCCCTGCTTAGCTTTTACTTATTAGTTGCCTGGGGAAGGTAATAGCGAAACAAACTACCGCATAATTTGAGTCGCTCGAAAACTGCAATCTTAACTTACCCTACCCACCCACCCCACCCCCCCTCCTCCCCCTTTACGCCTGATCTCTACTAGGAGACGACCCATCAGTAGAAGGGGATGGGGGGGGGGGGGGGAGGGGCGCAACACAAGTGAAGGAGAACCTAGCTAACGTTACGTGAACAATTTTGAAAACGATCACAGCCCTTTTAATGCTCATTATGTGAAGAGCAAAAAACAGTCAAACATTCGATCCAAGGAATAAAGGAAATCATCAAGAGCCAAAAAAAGTAATTATGTTGATTAAACACCAAACTGTGAGGGATGATCAACATAAGTATGCAAGGTCACCAGTGAGAAAAATCAACTCTTAAGATATTGCGATTAAAAGGGAAGCCTAACCTTGAAACTGTATTTCTCCTGTTTTCTTGTTCAACAATCTTCTGAGGTTGCCTCAGTTTATTTTCCTCATTGGGTTGGATGTTCTCCTTTTCTTGCCAGTGACGCGTGCGTTTGCTGAATGGTGCAAGTTTTTCCCTCAGATCCTTCTCAAATGCTAATATTTTCTCTAAAGGAATAAGCTTCGGTGTTTCCGCTTTCCTTGGAGCTTCTAAAAGCGGCCATGCTTCACGAAGTGTAGGCGGATTTTCCAAAAGTTTCAATTTTCTTAAGTCAACTCCATTTGAGGATGCTTGATTTTTAGGCATACGTAGTAAGGCCCAGTTGTTGGGTGCAGTGCCATGTCCTTTTGGTTCGGCGGTACTCTTCCAAAGTTCTCTCCTGGGTTGAAATTCCAAGAGTTTGATTTTGCTCAAATCTGGGATACCAGATTCAGTTGTTGACGGTTTTGATTCGGGTAACTGCAACAAAGAGTGGTCCGTACCTCGCTTTGGAATTTCAAGAAGCCTCATCTTGCTCAGGTCAAGTTTGCAAGATGCGTCAGAAAATGGAAAACGAAGCAAAGGTAAAGAAGCTCTATTTTGATCTTGATACTGTGATGTTGGTGGTTGCGGATTGCTTGTAGGGTAGTAAAGTTGATTCTGCAGTATAGAGGCTTGCTGCTGTTGTAACAAAGGGAATAAAGGCAAGGGACCTTCCGGTTTTGGTTCCACTCCTGATTCAGTTTGAACCGAGGCGGTTTTTGCCACAATCTGCACATCAACACGATTATCAATACTTTGATCAGATTCGCGATGCATGTGACCTTGCCCAGCTGAAATCCCAGAATGCACTGGCATTTGAGAGCCCGATGACGTCATTCCCTTATGATCCGTTTGCGACGCCGTTTCCGCACGGGTTGTTTGTCCATTGTTGCCAGAGGGGGTTGGTATGTTTAATTCTGAGCTTTGAACGTTCCCCAGCATTGTTGGTATACGAAGAACAGGCATACCAGCCTGCACAGTGTCACCAGCATCACTACCAACACCAGGCCTATAAAAAATTTGAAGTAGAATCAATATTGCTCAGATACTGGTTTTGGTTCGCATCTGACTGGTTGAGAAGGTGGCCAAAATTTTATTAGTCGACCACGTTACGCTATCGAGTAACCAGTCATCTCACCTCACAACAAGAACCAGTTCCATCTGACTTTGAGACACTGGTACCGTCATTGCCGAGGACTGACTCTTCTCATTTGAATCTACTGTGATTCTTGGCTGCACGTCCTTAGTGACCACGTCATCCAATTCCTGAGGGACCTCGCCATCAAAGTCCTTTGTGACCACGCCATCGATATCTTGCGGCTCTTTCTGCTCTCGTGAAGATTTCTTTTTTCTTTTTCCTTGACGTGACGGAGCTGTTCTAATCATGGGATGGGTGGGGATTGATTTTTCTTCAGCTGCTAAAGATGGTCGGTGTATCTGTGCTATGTCTGTTCGAAGAATCAAGATAGGAACATACAGTAATCATAAACCGAATCGAAAAAATGAACCTTTAAAAATTCAGAGAAACTAAACAAGACACGAACCGAAGAGTGCACAACCAAGCTGAGACTGTTAACAGAATTACTTCTGACTGGTTAAGGTCACTCAGAGAGCATAACTGTTTAGTCATGACAAAATTCCTTGTTATAACACACATGCAAACGTAGGAATTAGAAGTTTGGTAATACAGAAAAAGATTTAAAACGCGATAATAATCCAAGAAGGAACAAGAATGTCAAAGGAAGAAGACTGACACGGATTGCAGGAGATCACCTTTAAGACTTTTTGCTAAATAAAAAAAAATGCACTTTAAACGGTAAATAGAATGCTGTACCATCGCGCTCTGGTATTTTCCAATCAACCAAATCTTCCTCTCGTCTTTTGTTTCCAGGCTGATCGCTTTCATTCGTCATTTTTTCCTGTTTGTGTTCCTTTCTTTTACTTTTCCGTGAACGTTTAGACTTAGCAGGAGTAGAAGTTACGACTTGTTTGACAGAAGAAGTTAACTCTGTAAGGGAAAGGAAACTGTAGCTAGAAAGCAATTTGAATTAGTAACGTCTCCACTTGAGTAAAGTGGCGCCTTAAGCCGGAGCGTATCCCTATTTCCGTAATATGAAGCGACTAATAGTATCACTACTGCCCCTCCCTCCCTCCCTCCCCCCCCCCCCCAATACTCTCCCTGGATAGGATGCCAGTCCATCGTAAAATTATCTCTCAGGCACATCGTCAGCTTTCACCGACAGTTTGCCTCTACCCATTTATAATCTTGGGTGGAGGGAGTGACATTTTTAAGAGCAAGGTGTTTTACTCACAATGACACGGCCACATTTCGAGCCCAGGCCTTTTGACCCGAAGTCCAGCGCGTTAACCGTTGAGCCACCGCTGCTTCACTAAATGATACCACGTGGTAGTTAAAATGGGATCATTTACTACTCATACCTGGATCAGAGTGATAAGTCGTCGGGCTACCAGGGAAGTCACTTTTCCCATTGACTCGCAGCGAGTGTCGCTTTTTATACGCGCCACTCAAATCCTTTTCTTCGTCCGTTGTGGGACTATGTATAATAATATTCGGGATGTTTGGTTCACTGTTCGATTTGGGAATGCGATCAAGGTTTCTAATGCGTTGAAAATCCTTTCGAGGTGGCCTTGAGAGTTCTGTCCCTTCTTTCTGGGCTTGTGCTGGGAATTCCCTACTTGACACTGTTTTTTCTCTCCGCGTAGAAGTCTTCAAATCACTTTGAGATCGTTTTAGCATATCCGGCGTTGACTGATAACCGTAATCGCCTTGTAACCCTCTTCCTTCACCAGCAATACTATTTCGTTTCGCCGAATTGTTTTCAGATCTTTGGAGATTGGAGTCACTTAGAACTTTCCGTAAGGGTCTTGGTGGCGTGGCTACGTCTGTTGAAACAGGCGAGCGCTCTCTAACGTCACGTATTGGTTGTTTCTGCGGAGAAATCTTTGGTCTTTTGACCTTGATATCAACTATGACCTCTGTATCCAACATCCATGGCCAATAAACATTTTGCAAACACCATAAACTATTCACCAGAAGTGGAAGCGAGACATTAACCCGCATCACTGGAAGCGACTCGGTGCCACCAGGAGCGCTGCGATTGAAGTTACTCGAAGGTAAAGATGAACCTTCCATGGTCCAGCGACTGAGCCAGGTCAGACTAGGAAGAAGCTCAAGTAGCTGACTCCCAAGGGTCCGAATCCCAGGGAGGAAGCCCAAGCTAGCTACATCATTTAAGCTACTGCTGCGTTTTATCTCCGTTTCAGACCCCATAGTTGAGGTTGTGGTCACTGGTTTGGGTCTGGAGGAACGCACATCTGTAAAGCTTTGACTTCTGAAAAGACTAGAGGGGCCCTTGATGGGTCTGGCTGGGGTATCATTGTGTGTCTTCTGTTGCAGCACCGAAAGTGACTTAGTGTCTGAAACTAACAGCTGTTTGTTGTAGGAGGACAACAGTGGCACGGGATATGTTGCCTTACTATGATAAGTCATCACAGTTTTGGACACAGTTATCATGAAAAAAGTATCCAGAAACTGAAAATAAGATGGCTGCGTCTCAAACAAGGCCGTTCCAACTGCCAAACCTCCACCATCATGCATTATGGCTTCTACTTCATCATCGGCTGATTTGTTCCCGGAAGCCTCCTTAATGTCGAAAAACTGATCACAAACCTTGCCGAAGAGTTTTTCTCTTTCATCCATTTCTTCTTCCCAATCCATGCACTTCTTACGATAAAAAACTGACAGGGGTTCGTCTTGGCGGTCTGTGTCGTTGTCTTCTCCCACAGTGACTCCTCTAAACTGGGCCATGAGGCGCTTCAGCTTTGCTCTTCCACTCGCTGTCTGGACCACGTCTGGGTTGTTGAAGAACTGAGCTGTAAGTTCTGCTGTTGCTGTACTAGGAGGCAGCTCCGACAACAAGGTCAGCAAAGTGTCGATGATCTTGTCTGTGGCTCCAAGTAAAGAGCTGAAGGGAGCTAATCTCGTGGTCCACAGCAGGGTCTCCCAACAAATTGAATGGATTGTTGTGGCCTCCTTAAGAAAGACATTTATAGTAGAAAGTAGTATAAATTTCAAACAAAAAATCAAACAAGGTCAAATATGTCGAGTACTTTAAAGATAGATAAAAACTACACTCTGTTAACAAACGAACTCTCCGACGGAAACTTTGCACATGAAAATAGGAGACGGTCTGCTATGTGCCCACACATCTCTCTGCTGAAAAATGTCAGGTGTGCGCAGGAGAGGGAGTGAAAAAAAAGACTCCTCTCTTGCCCCCGTGTTACCCTCGCGTTTCGCACCCGTTTTTCCTAATCGCCTCGTGCAGCTGGTATAAGGTTTGCGTTAAGCTGGAGTTCATTTGTCGCAGTTTCCTCTAGATAACGAACTCATAAGTCTCTACTTCAACTGATTAGCCGGCATGAACATGCTCACCTCCTCACTACCTGTAGACTGGCTCCTTAGCTCTCTGAATTTCCTGGATGATTTGCTCATCTTATCCCGTGCGTGTAATAGCCACATAATCGCACAGAAATCACGAAAACCGCACTGCGCACCTCCAATCGAAGATGGCGGTTTATAATAAGTTCTCCTTTGTTCTTCACTGGAGGCTGCCTCAGGCTTTCTTTTCCCTAAAAGAGAACATATTGTTGTTGTTGGTTTTTAAAAATTTTTTTATTTTCAAGAAAATCCTCCAAAACCCAGACAAACTGTTAGTAACTTAAGAAAAACCTCATTCGCCGGAGACTCTTTCAGTGAAAAGCCATTTTATTCACAGATAAATTTATCCATACGATAAAAATTTATCCGTTTTTAAACCACCGGGAATGTAGAGTAGATTCCCTTTACTTGGGTGGGGAAGACTGTCTAATATAACCCTGATAGCCTTTTGCGGTCTCTTCAATACATTATGAACTTTTTTCACCTTTTTTCTTCGGAGACACATGACTGGATTTGTCTGCTTCAATGTCACGGAAACTAAATCCACGATCAGCATACCCAGCCAATGAAGAAGGTACTGGAAAGTCTGCATCAGTTCTTATCACATTGTACCAGTTCTCTGACGTGCTGACAAGCTGTTCTGTGTACCACCTCACGCATGGAACCAAACAGTTAGAAGCTTTGAGCAGAAGAAAGATCTTCTGTACAATGTTGGCCACTTCAGAGCGGAGCCTCTCTTCTTTTTCTGCTAGAGGTGACAAAGTTTCCTGACAGAAATATAGTAACAGTTAAAACAACGAAACTTTATTAACTACAAGAAAACCATGGTGGGCCTGCCTAGAAGGCAGTGTTCTCCCTTATTTTAAGCATGACAGGTAAAATAAATTTTCAAACCGGTAAAGCAATCCTTTTACACGCTGAATTTTCAAGAATTCCAAGCAATATTAAACGGTAATAAGAGGTACTACAGGTGGTAAATGTTACCGGTTACTGCCCAACAAAATTGGGCGGAAATGATTCAAAATCACACATTTTTCATCTATTACCTTCTTGGCATTCATCGGTTGTGGACAGAAAGACGGTGGAAAGGGCAGATAGAATTCCTCGGGTACAATCCACTCAAACATTGACGTCATATTCTTCAACTGGCTCACCAAACCAGTGAAAATTAACGGCACTAAGTCGAGATTCGCCACCAGTCCCGCCTCAAAAACCCGAGAAACTTCTTTCACAAGTTTGTCATCCGCCTCTGTTCCGACATCCACCACAACGTGCTTAATTGACCTTTGACCCTTCGAAGAATGAAGAGCTGGCTTTTCTTCGGCCAAGCTATCTGCTCGCTCTTCAGCGGCTGAAATAGTTTGCTTGAACGAAGGACTCAGTCTTGAAAATGCAATGGCGTGAGTAGTGATCTCTTTCGGTGGTTGAGGGAACATACGTTGACTTTGTTGATGTGTCTCACTTTCGGATAATCTAGAAGTCACGACTTGGCTTGCGAAAGACAACAACAACGCGTTTTTCCAGTCACCCAAATTCTTAGCTAACCAGGCTGCTTCCAATATAAGCCCTGATACAAGCAACAGTTCTACGGTGCTGTTGGCACTCCAAAGCTCATAAACACCCTGGTCTCGCACAGCTTGTGCTACTTTGGCCCTATCAAGCCCAATACGTTCCGTTACTTGAGAACGGTCTTCAGAATCTTCATTCGTGTTTTTATCGAAAGAAAGTTCATGGAATGGTGGAAGCTCAGTCGGTTGGTAGGGAGGATAAACATAGAGAGAAAGATTTGAAAAATAAGCCGACATGAACCTTGCAAGCGTTTGCACCACTTTGATACCTCTGTTATCCGCGACTCGTGCAACAGGATAGTTTTGAAGTAGAACCTCCATGAGTTGATTTGAATTTGGATGATGGCTACTCCTTTGAAACGAGCTTGGCGCGCTGGGAAGCAGAGAAAAGTGTGCACTGTTTTGAAATTCATCGCACGAAAGCGACGGTTCGAGTAATGAGTAGGCAAGATCAAGAGCAGACCTAAGATCGTACTGCTGAAGCTGAATATAGAGAATCGACAAAAGAGTCTTGGAGTCCTGTTCAGTCACATTGCCACTTGGGCTTCCTGTGGTATACAGCCGTGCGGGGGAATTAAGACTTTCAGTGCTTTCTCTATAGGGTGACTCATACTTACGGGACTTTTCGGGATTATACTCTTGGCTTGTCCCTCCCTGTACGCTTGACCGCCGCCTTGAAAACAAAGAATCCTGAAGCCCCTCTTGCGATAAGTTTTGAAAGCTGCCATCTAAATAAGCGCTGACATCTGAAAAATACGAAGCAAAAGGTCACTCCTTTGAGAAAGAAACAGAGGAAAGATTACGGAATATTTTACCTATTAACTGTTCATCTCAGAGGAAATTAAGTATTCGAATTTTGGGGTACAGATTGTACGTAAAACCTTCGAAAATAATAGAACTGTCTACAATGATAACACCCCCCTCCCCACCCCAAGTTTATAATGATCCTGTTCACGACGTTCGAAGCAAGAACATATTAACTAACTGACATTCAACAAGTGATTAATAAATGGTAACAAATAATCAGTAATATAATAACAATATAAAGGGCAATGATTAACTAGTAAGCTTCTTTTAATTTCGCCTGTTAATTATAAACAATTTTCTTATTTTATTGCGATTCCATTTTTTGTGAGACTTTTGTTACATACAACAAGGCATTCCGCGTTTTAGGATATTCCGCCTATCCCTGTCTTAGGATATTCCACCATTCCACCGTTCCTCCGTTGCATTATTCCTTTGAATAACTCAACGTGTCTTATTTCGCAGCTTGCTCGCATCGCAAAGTTAGTGTCTCTTTCGGGCAAAAGTGGCTGATTCAAACGAAAAAATGCTGTTTCCTCAAAGAAAAAAATTTCCTTTAGGTGTCATGATACGCCGATCAGATCTATTAAGATATTTCTGCATGAAAAATTGTGTTTTTAATCGCAATCCTGAAATGATTGTGAGATGTTTATCGTCTTCTTCTATCTTCTGTAATAAGAACTAAAAACATCATGCACTGGTGGCTATAAGCCTGAAATCACTTCAGGAGAGAACTCAAATGTGTATCGGGCGCGAATGTCAAACTAATAAGACACTAGGAAAAAATATGAGAACAGCAAGAGGCAGCGGAAAACATAGGGTTAAAACTGGATCAAGATCAGAATTCTATTGTTACCATCACTTACTTATTCATTCGCTCACTCACTCAGGCTTATTTCGACGACAAATGTGGCTTCGCCTCCTTTCTTACAAGAAAATGTTGAGTTGCCTTACTGGAGAGCACCGGAAGTAACAACGGTAGAGCCGCCATATTGTTATGTTTTTTTTTCTATGCTTTCCTTTTTTTTAAGGAAATAATTATATCTATGGACCAGCTGGAAGATTAGGCTTAGCCCGTTAGGTTAGCCTGCCGCGTGTGAGATTCCCGGATGTGTTCGCTTAATAAAAAAATCGCAGCTATGGAGCCGGAGAGAATAAAGATTTCATATGTATATATAACCAACAAAAACACAAACAAACAACAATAACAACAACTAAACTCTGACCTTCGAAATTCTCTGGCTTTGTGGTATAATCACTTGGGATTCTGACATCCAACAGTTGAAGTTTTTCCTGAATCTTACATAGCAGCTCGACCATTTGTGTTTCAATGCTTCCTCTGGTTTCTCCTTCTTGCGCCGAGAACAACGAAGTCCGGCGCTTCTGCATCTTCTTGCACACGTCGGAGGTGAATTTATACAGCAAAAGCCACGACCCAGTGAGATGCGTCTGACACACAGTTCGCTGATGCGCGTCTAAATTTGAAATGCTGCCATCATTTCCCGTCAAAGCAGCAGTTCCTTGTGATTCAGCTGCTTTATTGACATCATCCTGTATCCTCTTCAAATCAGCTCCGAGATTAACCTGACTTTCCTGAGCAGATCGATTGATGGGCAAATCCGATACTTTTTCACTGCTTGACGAGTACGATAGATTAAGCAAACGCTCGGCTAACCTCAACACTCTCATGGAATTGCTAACTCTGTAAACAACGCTCGAGTCTCTTAAGAGTAGAATTTCTTTCACGATGCCATGAGTGAGATGGAAGGCCCACGAGAATACGTTTCTGTGTGTGGCATCCCACTGGAAAACTTCCAACGCTGTCCGAAAATACAGCAACGCCTTGGAAAGCTGGGAGTCTAAAACTGGGCTGGGACTTCGCCGTTTTGATAAATCACCAGGAGAAGATGAAAGCGCCCTAGCCGAACGAAGCGATTGTGGAATGCGGTCCGAATTTCGAAGAAGAAATTGAAAGAATTTTATCACAACGTTGACTGTGAGGTCCATTGCAGGGCCAACGTCTTGTTTCCAATTCATCCCACAAGCGGACCCCAGAGCAAGAGCAATGATGGAGAGGCTCTGGGCACGAGAGATAGCGTCTAGGCTTCCAGGTGTGTATTCTGGAGGGGAGCTGTCGAGTTCTGGGTCATGGAGTCCAAAGAAACTCATACCTTGATCTCCAGTTGCAAGGCCATAACCTTAACAACCAAAACAAACATACAGAGCAATTTTCAATGTGTGCCGAAAGTAATTCCTCAATGCAATGGTTTTGTTCTTCTTCTGTTGTTTAGTTAAAAACAGTTTAAAATTTTTTATTCACTTGTTGACCCTTACTAGCATCGAACTTCTACAAAATCGCCCCTGAATCAAACATTAAGGTCACGAGAAGGAAGGAAAAGATTACTGGCTAAAGAAGCTCTTAATTATTAAAAAAAATCTTGTCAGTACCTTAGGAAATGTAGAGAAAAAAGTAGATGGGGTTTGCATACTGATGTTTGGGTGTAAAGGGCTCACAGAAGTTTGTGAAACTAATGTTTTTCGGCTTCAAATTCAACGCAATAAAAACGCTAGTTAGTGACATCCAAACCCATCTGAAATTCAGTTTCTCAGTTTTCTGGTTTTTAAACAAGTCAACCTTATTTATCTAAAAAGGTTTTGCTGCTATGAATAAGTCATAAGTCTCTCTTTACATGTCTTCATGGAAAGGGTATTGATCACAATATTCAAAACACGCCCTCCAATTTACACTCGCAGTCAGGTACTGACCTGGGACAACAGAAGATGACCCAGACGAATTATTTTCACTTGGAGCATCTGATAAAAGCTCTGTAGAAGCCATTCCACGGGTTGCGTTCACTTCTGATTGCAGAATGCTGATTCTACTCACAGATGACACGCGGGACAAAGTGCCCGGTTGAAGCTCTACATCAAGGTCTGGAACTAGTCTGAGACGTGAGAGAGATGAAGAAAGTTGGCAAATTTTAACCTCAGGGTAATTTAGTATTATTAACTGAGTTGATAACGTAAATTGGCCACGGCAGAGTTTCAAAGCTGGCGTTCCGTGCGTTAGCCCTTCGTCAAAGCGAAAGACGTGAAAGACGTCAGCCATTCGCTCTGACGAAGGGCTAGCACTCGAGACGTCAGCTTTGAAACTCTTTTCGGTGGCCAATCTGCGCTTTAAACTCAGTTGATAATACTAAATTACCCAGTTATACTCTCCCAACGACGCAGCACCGCAGTTTCTTTACAAACTTACCCTTTATACTTACGCCCTTTATAAAATTTAATTTTAAACTTAGTTATCGAATAATAATAATACTAATAAGATGAAAAACACTGAAGAAAATAAAATGAGAACAGGTTTAAACCCCGTCAAAGTCTGAATATTTTCAGGCTCTTTCCTGCAATTTATTTCATCGCTGTTATTATGCGAAGATCCTTACGTAATTTGCACTTGTACACACCTTGTGATGTCTCTCATGAAGCTTGTCATAATGCCATGGTAACTGGCGAGAGACGGCAGCTGCATCACTGTTACCAGGTAACCATCGGAGCTCAAAACAACAGGCAGGTGAGGATGGACAGACACAGAGAACCTCTGGGAGAGAGGATCCTTTTCTGAAGTACAGGACTCTGAGGAGTCTGAATGAAAACCATTTGCGGACTTCCTGCATAAGGAAAAATTTGTCTCTGGGAGGTGAGCTGCATAAATGTAGTTTTATGGTTGTACAACTAACTAATACAGAAATCAGATAATTTTCAAGTGACTGTCGAAATAATTCCAAATTGCAATGACTTTTCATCCGCTTGCTCTAGGAGTGGCCCACACAATCAGGCCAGTCTCTCGATCAATCAAATTCTAAAATTAAGCGAATGACGTTAAGCCCTTGTTTTCCGTGCATGAAGGCACTTCACTTGTTTCCACTTTTTGGATTGGTATCAATGCCAATTTAGGAGGAAAAAAGGATGATGAATTTAAGAAGACTTAACTACTCCAAATAGACAAACACAGAGGTGCACTTACTGAAATGTTATCTTGGGGTGGAGAGGAAGAAACAGAGAAGGACCTGTATGCAAAGAACAACCTTCTGTACAAATCTCTAGAGGTTCTCCAAGCTTACTTAAAACAGCTACAGAGCCACGGCGCGTGATACAGAGCACCAGAAGGCTGTCTCTGGTCCAAGCCATGTCTGCAATCCACCAAGATCTGAAAATAGAAATGTAGGGTTATTTTCCATTATTGACCATTCAATTATACCCTCCCCTCAATAAAAGGGGTAAGTTTCTTATAGAAGAAACTGTAGTGCTGACTGTCAGTGGGAGAGTAAAACAGGGTAATTTAGTATTATCAACTGAGTTGATAACGTAAATTGGCCAATTTATGTTATATATTAAGCTCAGTTATGCACGCATTCTGATTAGTTCTCACTTATGATCTATTGGAGGACAGATGTATAGATGACATCATCATTAAAACTTTTTTTTAATTCTTTATCATATAAAACAAATAGATTCCAAGTTGCCATGCGTCTGTTCAGTAATAGATCACAGAGGATGTCAAAATGTGGTAAGAACATCAGTGAGACACTTGGCTGCGCCTCGTGTGCTACTTTTTTGTTCTTACCACATTTTGACGTCCTCTGTGATCTATTACTGAACAGATTAATTATCAACTTAGTTAATAATATTAAATTACCCTCCACTCAATAGATTCATTCAAGGTAACATTAAACTATGGAAATTAAAAAAATGAAAGAAATGTTTTGTCAGGTTGGGCTGCAGTAAAGGTTAGTTTGTGGTAGTTTAAGCCCCTACAGAGATCTCTCACCCTAAAATCACACAATGCAACCATAACACATGCTCACTACCCATATTTATGCGAAACCTACTTTTAACAGAGTCTAATTGTGGTATTTGTTTGATAGGCAATACTTTTTTCCTAATACAAATTGAAATCCAATTTCAAAACTTACTTCCCAACAGGTGAATGGCCATTAACATTCTTTTTGGCTCCACAGTCCTTCAAGTCAGCAATCACAGCCACGGCAGTCTGTGACAGTGAGTAAAACATGACTCTGTTGTGTGCAGCAAACTTCTGATTCATGGCCAACACCATGACTTGGCCATCTGGAGATATTCTGGCAATGTAGGCCTTTCTGCTCTTCATGACTCTTTCAGCAGGTGTCAGATTGCACAAGGAGTGTTTGAAGGTTTGCCATGTGGCAGAGAAGGGGGGATCTAGACCTGCAAGAGTTATTATCACCTACTAAATTTTAAGAAATAAATGATTGAAATAAATAATAATTTGGTGTGCCAATAATAATGAGTAATAAAAAGATCCTCTCAGGTGAATTGTGGAAAGAACAAAGAACCCTCATGAATTTCTCTCCCTCCCAATACAAGGCTTCATAACTCAGTTGGTACTAGTGCCTAACTAGTGTCAGGCTGGGTTGTCATCAGAAAATTTAATAGAGTTGTATCATCTGAATAGAGCAGGTGCTAAATTTAATTGTGCTTGCATGGCAAAGCAACAAGCCCTTCTAGGGGGCCTATGGGCATGTTCCCCTGCATTTCCTGCATCCTGAGACATATTTGAGTAACTTATTTAAGCCAGACATTGATTAATGATGTTAGAATCACTTCCAAAATGATTTATTTGCATCTTTGATCATAATTCACAAAGCAGCCAGTGCAACTGGTCTGACAACCTACAGACTTCTCATGACAACCTTGATCAGGGAGGCACAGGTTCCAATCCCCCCAAAGCCTGAATTTTGTGGCCCTTTTTTTGGCAAATTCATTAATTAAAGTCCACCTGTGAGGACGGTGACTTATTCACCAGAGAGCAATTTATCTGTTGAATAGCATCATCCACTCTTTATATAACTGTGCTCAGGTCGCTGTGTTACATTCTAAGAAAATATACTTAACCCATGCATAACTTCTCCCCCTTCAGGAATCTAAATATCTTTGTGTATAATTGGACCACATTTACTTTTTAAAAAATAGCACCATACCCAGAAAGAGAACTGATGCTCTTACTCACTTACAGCTAATAAGAGAAATTTGGATAATCTCTGATCAATGACATACCTTCTTCAATCTGAGGGTTGGAGACTCCCTCCTGAAAGGTGTAGCTTTTTCCTTGCCATAGCAGGTGAAGTGTTGTGACATGGATTCTGTCACCCAAGTTGAAAACCCAGGATAATGAAAAGGATGTACCACAAACCTAAAACAGAATCAAAGAAAAACAATTAAACTGCATGCACTTACCTCAGGTGTGTCCATGTAAGAGAAGGTAAACATGGTTATGCAAACTGAAGTGTGTTCCAGTGAGAGTACATGATGGTTCAACATGATGGAGATTTTTTTAATGTTTGTATAGTTTCAATAGAAAGTTTTTATAAAGCATTTAATATCATTAAGAGAAATAACCTTATGATATTAAGCTGGGAGAAATCTTCAAAATTATGCAAACTCTCATTTGCATCTTGGATTTGCATAACCTTCTGGAATTCTCCAAATTCCTTTCATGTTTGGCTGAGAGGCTAGTACTTTAACACATTAAAAAAAGTTTTTTAATACTAAAATCTTATGCATCCTTCCAAACACAGGGTAAAAATCACTTAGGACAATAAGGATGAGAGATCATCAAGTTAGAGTGTTGGCTTTTAATGATATGAACATGTATTATGCATCAGCATAGCCTGTACATGTAGGCTTAAATGTAATACAGATGGTTTAATTGGAAGGTCTTTGATTTAAAATCTTTACTGAACTCAAGAAGACTGATTTTTTCCTTCACATTTTCAGATCTGTGTGGTTTTCTGCCATTGAGTTATCTACCAATATATCAAACATAATTCCAGTAAGATTTCCTTAACAGTCTTAAATGTGACTGATACTTACTGGATCAACAAAGAAGACTCCATCAATTGCTGTTTCTTTGTCCTTTTCATGAGGAAGAACATAACCTCCACACTGAATCTGATGCCATGTGCCTCGCAAGATGTCTCCAACTGCTGGTTGCATGTAAGGATAATTAAGATAAAATCAAACTCATTTATGGTAACATTAAATGAACATTCATATTAATTCATGTACCTACCACCAGTACTGTTCACAAGATCATTGTTGTTCTGTGTTTCCCAAAGAAAAATGTGACGAAATCCAGACAGAAGAACAACTTTTTTGCCACAGTCTGAAATGTACAGCCGAGGGCTGGTTTGTCCTGAAACACAACAATGAGTGATAATAATGCACAAGATTTTGAACAATGGTTATGAACATTGCAATCAAGATCTCTGGTCAAACATTACCAGGGAGAAAATTAGAGAGTACTTATTAATTACAATGACTTTTTGAGATAACCACACAAGAAATACACAAAGAAAAAAAGACATGAATCAAATAATATATGCCAATTCTCTTAATAAAGAACTAATCTCTTTGTTACCCATAAAATTCCCTCAATCTTCGAGACTTAAAAAACATCTGGATTAAAATTTCTTTACAATATATCAATTAACCCTGTAACTTCCCTGAGTGACCAAGACAAAATTTCTCTTTACAATATCATTCAATTAAATATCAAGCAGACAAGTAATGAGTATTAAGAAAAATATCAGTCAGGGAATTATTGTGTGTAACTGATCCATGACAAAATTCTCCAAAGTAACATCATAGAATTGTAGACATACAGTAAGAAGAATTTCTAAAGAGAACTACAGGAAGTGAAAGGGTTGAAGAAGGGAAATTATTTGAGTAGATTTTGTCATCATCAAAAATATTTAGGTTGTCTGTTCAAGAATAGGCATATTATTGTTGTGTGCATTTGTATACAGTCTACAGTCTAAAAGCAAATCTAAAGGGAGTGGCAGAAGAGGGTTAACAAAGATTAAGATGATCTTGATCAGGTTGATAATTGACAGATATAACACTTCAGGAAGACACATTTTAATAGAAAGTGAAAAGACAAATAAGTGGGTATTTCTCTCCACTCACTTGTTCCAGGCTGCACATTTCTTATCTTGTCCAACACAGCTGTCAACTTGACTGTTCCTAATTTTTTGTTCCAGATAAAGACTTTGCCTGAATTTAATGCTCCAGCCACGAAAAAACCTGCAAAACAACAAATCAAGACAACAAGAAATATAATGTCAGTCAAAGCGCCCATCTTTTTTATAAACTTTGAACAGTAGTTGTATCACAATACATGTAGTGCAATAGTTTTTATTGACTCTCCTCCTAGGAGGGTATTCTAAGTTAATTCACAACACTTTTTATGGGACTTTAGCTAAGAGTACATTGAGAAGTTTACATGCACAATCTTTTTCAAAGAATTTTTTTGCAAGTGCCCCTAATTTTAGAATCAAGGCCACACTACAACACTGGGAGCTTTGTTCTCTACTCTGTGCAAAAAGTGCATGGGTTCTTTAGAGTCTCCTAGTAACCAGCACAGTGAAGATACATGAAGGAGACAGGGCCAATGGCTTATTGAACTTATCCAAGAAGAATAGAAAATCTAACCATTTTCAGATGTCGAAGCAAAGGCAGCACATTCTCCTCTGTTCTGTAAGACCCTGACTTTTGTTGCAGTCTGGGGCAAGAGGAAGCTGAAAAATTACATCTAGTTTATACCTGATCCCCATCATAACTTTGTTCTTCTTGACTGTCTGGGATGATCTATTTAAATTTCTTACCATTAGCTGAGATTCCGAAGCCTTGCACATCGTCCAGATAATTTTGTATTGCAGGAATTTTTTTCCTTGTTTTTCCTGAAGGCAAATACAGTTGACTGAGGCGGCGTGAGTCAAACAGGTACAGATCTCCAACATCCTGGAACAGACAGCAAAAAAATTATCAGACTAGTTGCAGTTATATATCCAGACACTAAAGAGCAATGTTAATGGCTACTTTTGTTATTGTCTTCTCCTAAGTTTACAATGTGATTCGATCAATATCAATTTCGTAATACTGAATTCTGCCCTGGCCGGTAAAAAATATATATTTATGAAAGGCATGGTTTTAGATTTAAACCAATCATTAAGAAGGTTTAATTTTTCTCTTAAAGTTTTCTATGGTATGGAAAATTCCAACAGGAGTACAGCACAGTAGAACAGCGTCTGGATTATTTTCCATTCCAAACTCACCTTGCCAAGCCAAGACAAAGTCGGCCACGGTTTCTTTCTTTTGATCGTAGTCGAAGAAAGGACGTCGAGTTTCAGTAACATAATATGTGAAATCTATGGAGCATATTTTTTTTTTCGTGAACTATCCTTGCATTCAGCTAGGAGAGTTTTAACTGCTTGAACAACATTGAGCATTTTGTACACAAACATTTATGTTGTCCGCCATTTTTGTTAACTGACCACATTAGTTACCAGCCTTCTTTCGTCCGCTCTTGTTTGATCAAATATTTGCAAAACCGAATATTTGCGGGATACTGAGGAATTTACTCGGGGAAAATAGGTTATATTCGGAAAAACAAACCAGTGGAACAACGACGGTTGCAATTAAAGAAAATTCTGGGGAAAAATTATATAAATAGAGACTACGAACGAGGAGAAAAATTTAAGCGGTGAGCTATTTTTGGAAACATACGAGAACTGGTAACTAAAAACATGGCGGGCGGCATCGCAGGTACAATGTTGTGAAATATTTCTGTGATTTCTTTTATTATTTGTGATTATTTGTGATGGGCATGTTCGAAAGAACCTGCTTCGTCTGTAAATATCTTAAATTTCCTTTCTTTCGTTTCATGTCTTCCTCTTCCACATGAATGACAATTTAGCGTAAGTATGACATTTTGTTGAGATTGAGCTGCTTTCGATCGTGGCAGATTTATCATTTTTGTTGTATTTCCTGTTGATTTAAAGCATTCAGTGAAACTAAGAGCCGTAATTTGTCGTTATTTCCTTTTGATTTCAAACTCTCAGTGAAATTCAGAACCGAAATCTTTTCTCTTGCATGGTAGAATCATCGCTCTCTCTTTTTCCGCGGCAATTGGTGTACTACTTGTCGTTCTTGGGTGTGCTTTGGAAGAATACGGGTGAGTAAAGAGGTGTTGAAAGTTTCTAGAACATTACTTGTAAATTAAAAATATACAGTTTTGCTATTTAATCGAACCCTTTTCATTGACTTGGGTCAAAGTGTTCGAATTACGCATCCTCCTTACAAATTGTCTTCCTCGCCTTGTAAGGATTGCTAGATATCGTTAACTATTATTTGTTTGTCCTTCATTATTGCAGGGTATGGTGGCCTTTGTTTGTGTGTAAGTAAACTCTTGAAATTATAAAGTAGAGCACTGTAGTTAAACTAGGGTGAAGGGACACACAATACCAGAACAGTGCTAGTACCTGAACAGCTGCACACCAATTCTACCCTATTACCCAAGAGCAGTCAACTGATAGCATTTTGCAAAAATGAAAGAGAGGAAAATAATTAGACATGGTTTGATGCTACTCTGATTTAAAGATTTGCCAAACCTAAGGATCCTGTCACATAAGAACAATGAACCAATGCTATTTATTCTATTCCGCGCAATGACTGTGATCATAAGTATATTGGACAGACCAAGCATCAGTTTGGTACACATTTGAAAGAGCATCAAAAAGTGGTCTTCTTTGCAACAAAGAAAATTCAGCTTTGTTGGAGCACACATGCCCATCCAAACATACAATTGGGTGGGATGATTCTAAAATTATCACCACTAATTGACATTACCACCAATGCCTTTGTTTGGAAGCCAGGCATATCAACTTCACCCATGCTCCTTTTAATCATGATGATGGTGGCTTACTTCCAGACACCTATTTACACCACGTCAGAGAAAAGGGCAGCTTATTAGTGAGTGTATAAAAGGACCTCTTGTTACAGCATTTAGATCACCCTTGATGAAGGTACTAGACAATAGTGTCAAAATATTGGGTCTATGAATTGTAACTTCCTGGTTACATTCATTAAATATTTTAAACCAGAATAGCATCAAACTATGTCTGATTGTTCACCTGGTTGCCATGTGAACTTTAAAATAGGGAAACAAATATTTAAATTAACAGGAAGTGCTTGAAAATCCCAACTGGTAGGAGGCAGACCAAGGACTTAAACCCAGGACTACCAGATCACAATTACAGCACCCTAACCACCCTAACTGAAATTTCTTTTTAATTAAAGATGGGACAGTTAATTTTATTTTATTCATAATGAAATTACTGCTGTTCTCCTTGCAGTGTTTTTTTACGCCCTAGCCCCAATACCAACTGTCATTGCCAAAAGATTTTGTGAAGATTTTTCGTCCAATGCTGCCAGGTAAGTAACTACGCTATGAAAGCAAATAAACATATGGCGAAAGAAACACGACTGCTTATGAACCAAAAAATAGATGCATTTTAAATGAATAGATAAATAAGGAGACATCATTTCAGCAGCAGAATGGATGACTGCATTTTACAGGCAATTAAATTTGTCATCTTTTTTGCAGTTAATTGGAGATAGTATTCAATACTCAGATTGAATTTGATTGTCTTGCGATATGTAGCAGAAACCCATAGATAGGAACCTTTGTTAGTATTTTTTCAAATTAGCCTCCATAATTTCTTGATATGAATAATGTTTACTTTGAAATTAGGCTACTTATGTTCTTAATCAGGTTCTTAATTCTTGTTTACAAAAAAAAAAAAAACAAACAACAAGTGTATTCTTGGATGTGGGTGTAATACAGTGCTGTATGCCAGCCCTATAGTGCCTTGCTTGGTTAAGTTATTCACACAGTTGGGTATGTTGTGTGGCTACAGAGCTATTATCAGTACAATGTTATGGTCTTTTAACTCAGTCAGTATTCTGGGTAGTTTTTGTTACAGTTTTTGTATCGCGTGTGATTTACTGTTTTGTATTTTAAAAATGCTATTTTCTAAAAAAATGAGAACCAAGCTGTGTTGAGATCGTACCCTACAATGGTTCTTATGTGGAGGATGCTTAACTGAGAAATTTTAGCCTGACAGGTTCTCAAATTTTAGGCCTTTAAAAGTAGGTTCTTACTGTTTTGGAAATTATTTCAATATTTCACAGTTAAATTTTGTCATATCATTCAAGCTCTGTGATAGGAAAGATGGCTTAAGTTTCTACTCACAACAATGGGTCAAGACAAGCATAACCAAATAAAACACATGCAACTTGCACAGTCAAAATAGTGCAAGTCAAAATAGTACAAGAACAGACACAAACAACAACACTACATAAGTACTTTTGGGAACTAATGCCCCAGAAAACTTGCATAAACCAACTACTGAACCATCAGATTGATGAAAAGGTATTTTACAAGAAGAAGGGGTTAATTTCTTGCGCCTTGAGAAGCAGAACACTATCAAGTTCAAGAGGGTTGGGTGCATTTGAGGATATAAATGAATTAAGGGTGATCAGTAACAAAAAACCTGGTTATCTGCAGAAACCGTGTAACTAGACCCACAACAGTACCAAGACTTGAATATGAAATCCTTCTTCACAATAATGAACACTACTTAAGCAATAGTGAAAATAAAGCCTGAAAAAATTCAGGCCTTTATGGGATTTGAACCCGTGACCTTTGTGACACAGGTGCAGTGCTCTACCAACAAAGCTAACAAGCAATCAGGAGCTAGTCATCATGTTAATTCATAAGAAAACCTGTGAAATGATGAATCAATGACTGTAAATATATGAAAATCATATATGAACTGCAGATTAAGAAATGAATATGAGGCAATCTTTGTAGTAATAAATTTTAATGCTACTTAGGAAGTGTTTCACAGGTTTTGTGCAAACCAGCATTACATCATGACCAGCTTCCAGTTGGCTTGTCAGCTCAGTTTTTAGAGCACTGCATGCGTATTGCAGATGGTATGGGTTAAAATCCTGTACAGGCCAGAATTTTTTTCAGGCCTTATTTTTCACTACTGTGTAAATAGTGTTCATTACTGCGAAGATTGCTTTCATATTCACTTCTTTATATGCAGTTCACATATATGATCTTCACACATTCACAGTCATTGAAGTACCAAGACAACCTCTTATTTGCATAGATCAGCTCATTTGGGCATGTCCTCCTATCAATCTGTTCTTGGCTCTTGTAGGGGACCCTCACAGAAAAGAGTCAGAGAATGGTTGTAGTTGTTTGAGAAAATTCCTACTGCATATCAACTGTCTTTTTATATTATTTCAGTGTTGTTAAAGAAATTGCAATGTTTTTCACTGCTGGAATTGTTGTCTCAGGGTTTGGTGAGTTCATTTTGTTGCTATAATTGTAAGTAATTTGTAAAAACCTCACTAAGTGGGACATACTTTAGACTTGAAAATAAAAAACATCTACATGTATTCAGTTCCATTTAGTTATTCAAGTAAAAAGGCTTATGAAAATTTTCTTTTGATATCTCTTCAGGTCTTCCAATAGTTCTTGCACATACTGAAATTGTGAGTAGAATTTTATAATACTGTATTCTAATTACAGTTGAACAGCTGTATTGCTCTTAGGCTGGGTAATGTCTGCAGTTAGTAGATTCAGCAACTGATTTCTTCATTTAATTTGATTTTCAATGGTCTTTCTTGGTTTGATTCAAGTCATTGCCAAAGTAATTGAAAATACTGAAATTCACAACCTTAAGTTTGATTCTTCCAGACTGCTTTACCAACAGTCAGATCCCTAAAGCTCACTCACCTTTGGTTTACTGTGTTGTCTAAGCCCTTATGAAGTTTCAAAATAATGTGCTATTACTTTTGGGTAGCCTATTCCCCTTGCCAAAGCAGGAGAGACATGGAGTATTTCTACTCCCCCTGGATGGGATTTTAGTTCATCACAACCCCCCTTGCTAAGTTTAGCCTTGGCCCCCCCTCCCCTCCCACCCCATTTCTTTTTAGATCCACTATAGTGTCCCAATACCCAATTAATTTACCTTTTGCAGAGAGTTGAGGGTTTTAGAAATACCTTTATTTTTCCCAAAAACTAAACAAAGTTACACTGATCAGGGTTCTGCAGGACCCTTTCAATTCAAAGTTCTGGTTTTTTTGCTTATTAGAGTTTCTCTTCCATGTCTAGATAAAATGGGGAGCTATGGCATTGGTGTCATCTGGAAACGTCTTCATCTTTGTAACAATTCTGATTTATTTTATTGTTTTCTCTGGTGAAGATGACTGGGGCTTTTGAAGAGACACCAGTTGTACACTTCTCATTTTTTTTTTTAAGTGTATAAAGTATTGCAATTATCATTTTGTACAGAATGATTGAGGTTTGTGAACAATTTAACTTTTTGTGATAACATCAGAACCATATGCTGAGATGTTTCAGGCCCTCAAAAGGGAACTTCCAAATTAGAATTGGATGTACAGTTTTTGTTAAAATTGACAGAAGCAAGTGGGCTTCTGATGAGAGAATTAGAAGATTATTTAGTGTAACCTGGTTCTTTAAAGGGAGGAAAAGGGAAGACTTTAAGTTTATGTGACACCCACAAAATAAGCGATGGAGTCCCTGACAAAAAATTAATCATATTGCCCTCCCAGTTTTCTCATTAGGTCATGGGAGTGAAATTTCTGGGCACGTATGCTATATATAATAAGTGATAGGTTTCCTTTGAAGTGGAAAAAGTGCTCAAATTATGCTAAATTTTAAAAGCTTACTTTTAAGGGATTAACTGTAATGATTGTATAATACAGTACCATTAAATGAAAGTTTTCAGGACAAATCTGTTTCAATTTGTTTTTTAATGCCAATTTCAACCCTACAAAATACTATTTGCACTTATTATGAACCTTATATGCAATCAAATACAATTAAGCAGAGTTAACAACATCAGCATTCCATAGTAGTCAAGGGTTTTTTGCATATACGCGTGTTGGAATTCCATGTACTCTGCATTTGAGGCGTTCTTGCTTGTGCTTTGAGCATGAACTTTAATCATTGTTTGGAGTGGCAGCTCATTGTACAGGCAATTTTCCCCACCCCTTCCCTCCCTCTTTCTACTGTTTATTCAGTGTGACAGGTGCCTGTTTCCCTTTTCTGCATGGGGTTTCATGACTGGGTTGCCAGGATTTGCCAGATATGGGAGCAGTCTCCATCTAGGAGCTGGCTGCCAATGGGGGAAGCTCTTGGATATCTCAGGCACCCAGCCTCCACCAAGCAATGCAGTTGTTAAATGGCTGTTTCCACGCATATTCCTAAACTGAACTCCCAAATGTGAATGACAACTAACTTCTCTCTGTAATGCATTTGCCATGCACCCAGAGGAGTAGCTGTTTTAGCTTTTCCTTTTCTTCTTCATTACCTCTTACATTTCTCTTCATCACCTCTCAAATCATTATTTCAGGTTGGCTGTTTACCTGTTCTTAGATGGATTGATGAGTGATTTTTGTTTTTATTCCCACTTTCAATATATATATATATATACCGGTATATCTATCAATTTATTTTGAATAATTATTTAATTCACTCATTTATATATTGATAAATGTGTATCCACTGACATTTTTTACAATTTATTTGTTGCTCAGTTGGAGAACACGAACCATTGATTGTTATTCAATTTTGCAATTAACCCTTTAACTCCCAAGATTTCATTAGAAATTCTTATTACTGTCTGTCATACAATTTTATGTAATGTTAGTTTGGAGAGTTTGGAATTGGATCAAACATCCATCCCCTAATTGCTATTTTTCTTTTTTCTCATTACTTGTCTGCTTGATATTGTACTGATAGTGTGAGGAGAAATTCTGTCTTGTTCATTAATGGGACTTAAAGGGTTAATGATTGTTTAACAGATGCTTTCACAGCTTCCACTATCCACCTCCATGAGTCTTGTTCAATTTTGATAGACATTGGCGACTAATTATTTCAAATGAGCCTGACATTAAACGACAGTTCCAAACGCGATCGACCTACGGGCGCCAGGAAAAAGCATGTGGCCTACTAGAAAGCGGAAAGTTGTAACATTTAGGAAGAACCATGAAACTCCAAGCGAAAAACAAAAAGTGATCCTGCTTTGTAAACACATTTTGAAAAGGTCACGCCGCATTAATAGAACTGAAAATCAGAGACCAAAATTCAAAAGCGTAAAATGGCTGAGAACCAAAAACTAAAAAAGTAATAAAGATTACTGGAGACCAAAGAGAGGTTTTAGAATAACCTAATACCATTTTGGCCGTAAAGGTACACTCCTAAGGTGTAAGCTAACCTTATCGGCGCCACCTAAGAATAATTTATTCTGTTTCAAAGATTTTCAAGCGTGTTTGTTGTCAATGACCCAGACGAAACTCGATCGTGTGTAATTCACGTGAAAAGGATCTGATTTTTTTTTCACAATCTTTGAACCTTTGAACTGCACTCAAATGCGGTATCAGTAGCACATCACCTTGTTTCTTCTGTAGACATTTGTGATCACGAAGTAATATTGATCTGTTTTAAACATTTGGATCTAGTAGCACTGGGCGGGAGATGATCACTGCTGAAGAGCATGCACATTTCATGTAGCAGAATGGAGTTGCCAAAGTTATGAATACGTAGCAAGCAGACTTGACCACTGGGAAAACAGCGCAATACATACACTTTGCCGTATGTGGTGTGTCCGGAGCTGGAAAGTCTAGTTTTCTTAACAGCATACGAAGGTAAATACATCATTAAACCCACGCAGACCAAGGGCGCACTGAGCAGTATAATAGTAAAAAAAATTAGTTTTGCGCAATAACACCAGCCTGTCCGATATTTTATTATTGTAGTTCCCTAAAAAGATAACACTGCTTTCAGTTTAGATGAGGTCAAATACAAGTGCATGTAACATAATTAATAAATAGCAACGGGCACCCAAACAGTGGTGTTTTTATTCCTAACTGAAGTTGCTAAGGCCAAATATAAAATTTTGTAGACTTGTAATTTGCAAATACATGTATTTTAACGTTTGTTCCTTCGATGTTTGTGCTAGACTTGATAACATTCGTGAAGATACCGCAGAGGTCGATGACGAAGAGAGCACTTAAGAACCGAAATGTTACGTGCATCCCAGCAACCCCAAAGTCAAGTTTTGGAACTTACCAGGGATAACAGAGCAGCGGTGTTTAAGGGTGATCTGGAGAAGTACTTCAAACTTGAAATGTGTAGCTGGATACGTTCCATACCTACCTCAATAATCTTTGCCAAAGATCGATTCACCGCTGACGACTTAAAACTTGCAAAGATGATTCGATCAAATGGCAAGAAGTTTTCCTTCATTCGTGCAAGAATTGATCAAGATGTTGAGAATGCGAGGAGAAGCAGACAGCATTTATTTAATGAAGATGCCATTCTGGAGAAAATACGAAAGAACTGTGCAAAAACTTAATTGGAGGAAGCCTCCTCGGTGATGAGAAGGAAATATTTTTGATAAGCAGCCACTACCATTCGAAGTATGACTTTGGAATAATCTCCCAAACAATTACAGCTGTTTTGCCGAAGCGTCAACGAGAAGTTCATGCTCTGGCCTTCACTCAGAGATTGAATGCTGAAATAAACTTTGCGTTATTTCTGTTCAGTGTTAGTGCATCAGCTCTTGCTACATGTGTCTAAGTTGCCGGGGGAACCATCGCCGCTGATATCGTGCTGTTACGAAGAGAAATTTACTTTTAGAAGAAGAGCCACTTCGTCTTCCAGAAGAAAGGTTAGATAACTTTTCATTACTGAGTATCAACACCCAAAACAAAGTGAAGGCATTAAGCACAATTTTTGGCTGTGCAGCGCGAATCGGCGCGCTTCAGTGCAGCCCATGCTCCACTGGGCACTGTCAGAAAAGAACACACCTCATCCCGTTTATTGGTGCAGCTGTCGCAAGCACCTTTTTCTTTCGGAGCAACATATTACTTTCTGCAAACACTGGAAGATATAGAAAAACTTGCTATTGAGGTGCTGAGAATAACACCATTGAAAACCAAACCCAATCAACTTTCATCAAGAGAAAATAATGTCCCTTTACTTTCTCTTGTTTTCATCAACCTGACTTACAATATTTGATTTCATTGAAAATTCTTGAAAACAGGGCCCGAGCAAAAAGCTAAGTACAGACGGAATTGGCTGTTGATGCATTGTGAAATTATGTGGTGATAAACCAACGTGTTGGCGGAATGTCTGAGGAGGGTTATTATAATAACGACTGAGCGGAAAAAGGTAATTTTGGGTGTTGATGTTGTATTTCAAATAACAGAATTGTATGTTTATCAAGTTGTTTTAATGACACGGTTACAATTTTTTCTCACACCAGAAATCGTTACTGAACTTTTTAAATGAGCACCATATGCTCCCAATCTTACAACCTAGCATCGTCGGGAATGTAAGATTACATTAGTATCGATTTCGACACCACTATTCCGGAAACGTTATAGCAAAATGTTGTTCATCGTGGTTTTATACATAAAGGAACGTTTAATCGTTTGTCTCACAATGTAAAAGTCAGGCCAATCAATCGTTTTTTGATTAAAACGTTGGACAGCTATACTACTGGCCTTCGTCAAGCGCCGAGGTCGAAAGTTTACGTGTCGCTATTTATAGCAGCTTAGTTTGTTGTCGTTGGTGTGTTTTGGCACGCTGTGCATTTCGATCCTTGTTATTTTTCCAACCATAAGATATTGTTTCCTCGCTTTGATATCGATCGGTTGTTATTAGATTAAACGAATTAAGAAAGTCTACAGACTCGACAGTCTAACATTATCAATCTTTTTCCTTCACCAGGGAAAGCAATTGACTGGAGGATAAAAAGTCAGCAAAAGGACTATAAATGATTGCTACGTCTCACAAATATCCGAAAAATTACTGTCCGTTAGAATTAGCAACAAATTAAAGTAAGTTGAATGCAGGGAATGAGGCGTTTAAAAGACGATTGTAAGAGAACAGAAGAATTCATATTGATATTTTTCTGACAAAGCTGAATTAAGAGAAACGGTTTTCATAGGCAGTAAATTGTTTCACTTTATGTTCGTTTTGATACTTGAAGTGAAAGAAGACCAATGAATCTTTATTTTATGTAAGAAATTTGTTGATAAAATTCCTGGAGCAAAATAATTGTCTCTTTTTTTACCTCGTTATTGGTGGAAATTTAACATTATCGAATTTTCTTGCATCTCTGAATGAAATAAATTTGCCATCGAATGAATATGATCGTTATCACTATGGGTATCGATTTATTCCGAGAAACAAGAGTTTTGTATACCTGAGAACTTGTATATTTCCTGTTTCTAGCTTCTTGCAAAACAAAAAGTGAAGACAAACCACTCTGGGTATGTGCCATTGAAACCTTAAACTGCAATTTGTTTTCCTAGTTTGGTTGAGACCTCAGTTCAACATATTATCGCTGTCAATTTCACACTAATCGATATGGTCTTGAAATGAGTTATGCTGTGGAAAAATCAGTCACTAACTAGGTCTCACCCGGCACACATTACCTTTTCGTCAAAAGATAATGCCAATACTCCTTCCACTTTTCTCTTATGCCGACATTTCTTAGGGTAATTAAACAAATTATCTTTTATAAATCACCCTTGCGTAATGCAAAACAATGCTGGAAGATCAGGGGTTAATTCTCTTGCACAATCTGGAGTATCTAAGGCGTTTGTTGACGACATAACCACATCATCAAGGTCGACAGCCAACAACTTGGCCCATTTTTTCGTTAGTCACTATCTCGCTGGGATATAAATCTTTCATTCAACCGGCCATGTTTAATTTGGAGATAGAGTTGACGGTGTGGAAGGGGACGAAGAAAAACTTTTCCATTGACCGCCCTACCCCCTTGCGTCTGAGTTGTTGCCTGATGATGAAACCACAATATCAAGGTTGGCCTGGGTCTCGTTTCTTTTAGTCGCTGTCTTTCTGTTTCTCAAAGCTGTGATATTCATTGCCCCACCCCTCCCCTCTCCTTCTTTTTGACTTCTCTTGGTAAAAATCTCTCTCTCTCTCTCCAGCTTTTCGCTGCTATAAAAATCGAAGATGGCAGCTAAAATTTTCACTAACATAAATGTGAGCACTCGCCGCCAAAATACGCCTGCTTCACAGGCTTTGCTGTGTGAATGGACATATAAAGCGCCTTTCGCATATGAATGTTAATCTTTGAATATATCTCATTGTAACCAAATATCTTCAGGCGCTGAGGAAATGAGTCATGTGACAAACATTTTAAAGCATTTTTGTTGACATTGAGTCAAATGATACTCGATCTTGTGGAATTCACATGAAATGAATTTGATCTCCCTCACAGACTTTGAACCTTTGGACAGCAACCAAATACGTTATCAGTAGCACATCGACTTGTTCCTCCTGTCGATATCTGTGAACAAAAAATAATATCGCTTTGTTTTAAATATGGCTGAGCATTGTGGCTGGGAGACGATCAGCGCTAAAGAGCTTCAGGATTACGTGGAGCAAAATGGAGTTTCCAGAGTTGCCGAATACGTATCGAGCAGACTCGACGATTGGAAAAACGTCGTAATACAATTTGCAGTATGTGGTGTTTCAGGAGCTGGAAAATCTACCTTTATTAACCGCATACGAGGGTAAGTACACCGATGCATTATGACTGAGGACGTGCTGAGCACAACAGTAAAAAACAAGTCACTTTTATTAGATATAAAAGAGCTTGTTCTATAGTATATATTTGTACAGGTCCCGTAAGTACTTTTATGCAACAATCAGAGTGCCTCGACCTATCCTGCTTCTGCCATAGCTGTTCATTTTATTGCGATTCAGTTATTTTATTTTAATGTTCATAATGAAGAACCTTCTGAATAACTAAAGATTTTGACCATCTCTCCCTCCCACTCAGTCAATACGTACATAACATTTGATGATAAATTTCCTGTCGAAATGAATATGTCGTTTTTATCGATGTTTTATTATTATGATATTAAAACTAGGAGAAAAAAGCCTTCTTGTAGGCCAGGACTTGATCAGGAGTAAAACACAAACTGCGGTGCCTGACCAAGCTGTAGGCCTTGGGAACCAGGGAAATGTCTAACAGTATTTCAACTGTAGTTCCTTCGCTGTTTATGATAGAGTGGAAGACTTTGATACTGATGCAGCAGAAGTCGATGTTACTGAGTGCACTGAAGAGCTGAAATGCTACGATCATCCCAGCAACCCCAATATTAAGTTTTGGGACTTACCAGGGATATCAAATCCTATCTACGATGGTGATCTGGAGGAATACTGCAAAAATGTGCCTTTGGATGAGTACGATACCTATCTGATCTTTGCCAAAGATCGACTCACCGCTGACGACTTGAAACTTGCAGAGAGGATTCGATCAACTGGTAAGAAGTTTTTCTTCATTCGGGCAAGAATTGATCAAGATGTTGAAAATGCGAGGAGAAGCAGAAAACATTTATTTGATAAAGATGCCACACTGAATAAGATACGAAAGAACATTTCGCAAAATTTGATTGAAAGAGGCCTGCTTAAAGATGAAAAAGAATTTTTTTTAATAAGCAACTACCATACTGCCGAGTATCAATTTGGTGAGCTGAGCAGAGCAATTTTAGCTATTTTGCCGCAACGACAACGTGAGAGTCTCATTCTGACCTTTGATAATGCCTTAATTTTGTCAAAGGATACCCTAAAGGAGAAGGTTGAAGTTCTTAGAAAGCGCATCAAGTATGTTGCTACCGCGTCTGCTTTCGCTGCCACTGTTCCAATTCCCGGGGTATCTATTGGGACTGATATCGCGTTGATAAAAAGAGAAATCGACTTTTACATAAGCCAGCTTGGTCTCCCAGAAGAAGGGTCACATAGATTTTCATCGCTGGGTTTAAAAACCCAAACTCAAATAAAGGCATTGAGTACAGCGCTGGGCAGTACCATGCAAATTGGCGGGCTTCTTGCAGCCTACGCTACTGAGAGTGTCGTCGAGGAATTCTCTCGCTATATTCCGTTTATTGGCACAGCTATAGCCAGTTCCTTGTCATACGGTGCAACATACTACTTTCTATCGAAATGGTTAGGACAAATGGAAGAAATCGCACTTAAAGCGTTGGAAGAAACATTGTATGACCTTCAATCCCATTAACTTTGATGTATGATATGGACCATGGTTTTCTTTTCTGTGCACCAATCACAAGCCGAAGGCTCAGTGGAAATCGACTAACTTTAAGTGAATTTACTTTGGTTTTGTTTTTTCTTATGTAAAAAAAAACACTTTTCTGACAGTTGTTCAGTAGTAACTCAGTACTAGAATCAAATAGGTATGCTCAGAGGTACTTCAGTCTTTTTCTACTGGCCAGGAAGCAGGCCACAAAGCTGAATTTTCCCCAATAGCGCATGCTCTCATTAGCTTCTTTAGGGTCTCATAAAATCCAACGATGAAATCCTAAACTGCAAAATATAATAATGCCAGAGGGTAAAACTTCAATTTTACCTGTGCATGTTGAACGCCGTTGCTCGTAACCAGAGTGGAACTAAGGATGGCGTGAAATTTTAGCATTATAATATTTTACGCTCCTAGGGGCTTACACAAAATTTGCAAATCATATTTCGGAATATTATTCCATTTGCATCCTCTAATATTTTAGTCTAAGAAGGATTAAATCAACGGGAAAAAAAGAGAAATGGCTTGTTTTATTGTGGTATTTGAACGAACAGAGGAGTTAGTTTAACCGGTTATATTAAATGACATGGTTATGTCACTGTAGTAGTTCTTACACTGACTTACAGTCATAGGATCTGTTATCGTCTGTAGGAATATCATAGAGGATACTTCTATTCCCTATACAAAATAAAAGTAGTAAATAGTGTCAATCATTTTCACTCCTTTTCTCTCACTGGGAAATAAATTGACCGAAGGATTAAAATTAAACCAAAAGTTGCTTGAAATGATTAGCACATCACACGAATAATTAAAAAGTTAATGCACATCAAAATTAGGAGAAAAAAATTATAAATGTAAAGAATGAGACGGTTAAAACCTGATGACAAGACAACGTAGGTGTGTACATTGAGAATTTTCAAGCAACGCAGAAGTAGAAGGAAGTTGTTCATGGATAGTGCATTGTCGGTCTCGTGTGATGTTAGTTTTACTACCAGCAATGGTGGAAGCCTATGAAGTATTATGTTATGTAAAAAATTTGTGGCTGTAAGAAATTGAAATCAAGTAATATTTTGGGTGAAATGTTCCAAATATTTGTTTGTCTGTTCACTTACTTAGTTATTCTTGATGAAAATTTCAACGTGATTATTTTTTTTTGGACTTCTGAATGAAACAAATTTGCTCTTGAATGAATTTGATTTTTTACTCATTCTGTATGGCTATCAATTTGTTCCTAGAAAACGAAACATTTTTTTTTAACTGACACCTTATTGATATTCCTGTTTCACCTTTTTCCACTGTACTGTTATGATCAAAGTGCTCTGTGAGCAAACTCGTGATTTTGACAAATTATTTTTGGATTATGTTTGATGTTATCTGGTTTAGGGAATTTTGTGGTTGATTGTCATATTTAGAGTACGAGCAGTAGTTCAGTGTTCGCTAATGTAGCAAAGAAACAAAGTAACGTTGGGATAAGAAGGCATTACAATGCTATTACATTTGACAAGGGTGGATGATGTCATGTGTTTTAAACATATATCATTTTTGTTTCTGGTTCAAAAAAAAAAGCTGGTAGTAAATGTGAGTGAAAAGTGAAATTTACCGTCTATAATTGTAAATATTGGAAATTAAGGCAATACTGCATTAATGAAAAAATTAATGACTCTCTCTTTATCAAATGAGACAAACGGAAACAAGTTTTGAGTGATATCACTAAGCCCAGACTGCCACCGTCATTTTGGATTTCCGCTTGGGTAGATTTTGGTCACGTGCTATGCAACGTATAATCAAAAGCAAGATCGAATTTAATTTCAGGCCTATTTATCAATTATTGTGGAGTACAACTTTCGCGTTTGTGTACGTAATTTTTTATTTGGAATCTTCAAATTGTCTTGAAACTTAGAAGGAAATTGTTCTTTAAAAATTAACTGAAAATCGGAAGCAAAATTATTTGTTTAGGTGTTATTTAATTTTCGTGTTTACCTGTGATTTCGTCAGTTTCCGGAACCCTCTGTCGCTTCACACAGAAAAAATACACACACGAAATATAATGATCGATTTTGTCCCCAATCTCACGCCATAACAGAAAAAACTTTTGAACACCTGTAAACTCCGAACGCTTGGGAGTAAGTGATATTTGTAATGAATCTTCGGACTGTTTTCAAGTTCAGGGATTGTAATTTACAATTTTATGAAAAAATTGTTCTGTCATTTCAGTGTGAATCCTCGCACACCTGCCAGTCGCTGGCGCCGCTTGTTGAAACTAGAACGAAAAAAAAAAGGAATTGCTGTTTAAGAAAACTAGTCGGTTCCATCGGGAACGTTTAACGGCCAGAAGCAAGAATTACAGACTAAACTGTATCGCGGTGCAGTTCAGTACGGTAAACGTTTTGTTTTCATTACACGCACTGTTAATATTGCAGTCATTAGACGCACTTAACAAAAATTTCAGTGGACCGACTGCGTGCAATTTTACACAGAAAATCTGTGAATAGCTAAGCTTTCAAAAATTTCTGTCCACAAAGTAAGACTGTTTTAAGGTCTTACGAATGCAAGGAGCTTTAAAAAACATGGACAGCAATTTAGAAGTAGGTGGCGTGCATGCCTCATTTTCATAAAGTTTGCAGACCATGCCCGCTATAACTCGTGTTGCGCATGCGCAATTCACGAGTTAAAAATGAAAACGACTTTTTCAGCATTTAAAATTCGCAAAGAGTGGTAATGGAGAATAGACCACGACCCTTCTTTCCGGCGAAATCCACCGCACGAATCAAAAATTCAGAGAAGAAAAAAGGTAAAGAAAATTGATGTAAGCGCCCCAAGCTTAGCTAGCCCTTAGAGCGAGGAGCACGAAAAGTTGTTCCACCCGAAAAGTGCAAGATCCGTTTGCCTGAGGCTCGTGCTTTACTCTTGTTCTTTAAACATCTCGCATGCTTAAATAACTCTACATAATACTTGGAGGAGGGGGGGGTTTATTTCTCTAAAACTGTTCAGATCAAAAAGAGTATTGACTTTGTCTTACCCGTCACATTAAACATATATTACCTTCTCGTCAAAAGATAATGTTAATAGTCTTGCCACTTTGTCCGTAGGCCAACATTTCTTAGGGTTATTGAAACAAATTGGCTTTGATAAATCACCTTTACGTAATGCAAAACAATGCTTCAAGATAAGGGTTTGATTCTCTTGCGCAATCTTTAGTATCTAAGGGGTCTGAGTTGTTGCCTGATAATGAAACGACAACATCAAGTTTGACCTCGGTCTCGTTTCTTTTAGTCGCTGTCTTTCTGTTAACTGAAGCTGTGATATTCATCGCCCCACCCCCTCCCCTCTCCTTCTTTTTGACTCCTCTTGGTAAAAATGTCTCTCTCTCTCTCCCCAGCTTTTCGCTGCTATAAAAATCGAAGATGGCAGCTAAAACTTTCAATAACATAAATGTGGGCACTCGTCGCCGAAATTACGCCTGCTTCACTGGCTTTGTTATGAATGGATGCATAAAGCGCCTTTTATATACGAATGTTAATCTTTGAATGTATTTAACTGTTACCAAATCTTTTCAGGCGCTGGGGAAATGAGTCATGTTACAAATATTTACAAAGTGTTTTTGTTGTCTTCGAGCCAAACGAAACTCGATCGTGTGGAATTCCAATGAAATGAAATTGATCTCCCTCACAGACTTTGAACCTTTGGACAGCAACCAAAGACGTTATCAGTGGCACATCGACTTGTTCCTCCTGTTGAGATCTGTGAACAAAAAATAATATCGCTTTGTTTTAAACATGGATGATTTTAAAAGCTGGGGGATGCTCCGCGCTGAAGAGCTTCGGGATTACGTGGAGCAAAATGGAGTTTCCAGAGTTGCCGAATACGTTACGAGCAAACTTGACGCTTGGAAGAACGTCGTAATACAATTTGCAGTATGTGGTGTTTCAGGAGCTGGAAAATCTACCTTTATTAACCGCATACGAGGGTAAGTACATCAATGCACTACGACTGAGGACGCGCTGAGCACATAACATTAAAGAATAAGTCACTTTTGTCAAATTTAAGGATCTTGTTGTATATTACATATTTTAACAGGTCCCGTAAGCACTTTAATGCAACAATCAGAGTGCCTCGACCTATCCTACCGCTGCCATAGCTGTTCATTTTATTGCGACTCAGTCATTTTATTTTAATGTTCATAATGAAGAACCTTTTGAATAACCGAGGATTTTGACCTTCTGTCCCTCCCATTCAGTCAATACGTACATAACATTTGATGATAACTTCGCTGTCGAAATAAATATGTCGTTTTTATCGATGTTTTGATTATTATGATATTAAACTAAGTGAGAAAAAAGCCTTCTTGTAGACCAAGACTTGATCAGGAATAAAACACAAACTGCGGAGCCTGATCAAGCTCTGTAGGCCCTGGAAACCAAGGAAACATTTAACAACATTTTAATTTTAATTCCTTCGTTATTTGATAGACTGGAAGACTTTGATACTGATGCAGCAGAAGTCGATGTCACTGAGTGCACTAAAGAGCCGAAATGCTACGATCATCCCAGCAACCCCAAAATTAAGTTTTGGGACTTACCAGGGATAACGAATCCATTCTACAAAGGAGATCTGGAGGAATACTGCAAAAATGTGCCATTGGATGAGTACGATACCTATCTGATCTTTGCCAAAGATCGACTCACCGCTGACGACTTGAAACTTGCAGAGAGGATTCGATCAACTGGTAAGAAGTTTTTCTTCATTCGGGCAAGAATTGATCAAGATGTTGAAAATGCGAAGAGAAGCAGAAAACATTTATTTGATAAAGATGCCACCCTGAATAAGATACGAAAGAACATTTCGCAAAATTTGATTGAAGGAGGCCTGCTCAACGATGAGAAAGAAATTTTCTTGATAAGCAACCACTTTCCTACCAAGTATCAATTTGATGAGCTGACCCAAGCAATTTTAGCCATATTACCGCAACGACAACGTGAGAGTCTCATTCTGACCATTGATAATGCCTTAATTTTGTCAAAAAATACCCTGAAGGAGAAGGTTAAAGTTCTTAAAGAGCGCATCAAGTTTGTTGCTACCGCATCTGCTTTCGCTGCAACTGTTCCAATTCCCGGGGTATCCATTTCGGCCGATATCGCGATGATACAAAGTGAAATAAACTTTTACATAAGCCAGCTTGGTCTCTCACAAGAAGGTTCAAACAGATTTTCCTTGCTGGTTTCCAACACCCAAACTCAAATAAAGGCATTGAGTGCAGTGCTTGGCAGTACCATGCAAATTAGCGGGCTTCTTGCAGCCTACGCTACCGAAAGTGTCGTCAAGGAATTCTCACGCTACATTCCGGTAATTGGCACAGCTATAGGTAGTTCCTTGTCGTTCGGCGCAACATACTACCTACTAACGAAATGGTTAGGAGAAATGGAAGAAATCGCACTTAAAGCGTTGGAGGAAACATTGGAAAACGTTCGATCCCATTAACTTTGATGTATGATATGTACCACGTTTTTCTTTTCTGTGCACCAAGCACAGGCCGAAGGCTCAGTGGAAATCGACTAACTTTGAGTGAACTTACCTTAGTGATGTTTTTCCTTATGTAAGAAAAAATTTTTTATCACAGATATTCAATAGTAACTCAATATTAGAAATAAATAGGTATGCTTAGAAGTACTTCAGTCTTTTTTAACCGGCTTGGAAGCTGACCACAAAGCTGAATTTTTTCCCCAATAGTACATGCACTCATTAGCTTCTTTGGGGTCTCATAAAATCCAACAATGAAATGCTTGACTGCAAAATATATTATGTCAGAGGGTAAAACTTCAATTTTACCCGTTAATATTGAGCGACGACGTTTGACTGCCGTTGCTCGTACACAGAGTGGAACTAAGGTTGACGTGAAATTTTAGCGTTGTAATATTTTACGCTTCCAGGGGCTTACACAAAATTTGCAAAGAATGTTTTGAATAATATGCCATTTGCATCCTCTAATATTTTAGTCTGAGAACGATTAATTCAAAGGGGAAAAAAGGAAAATAACTCGTCTTTTTGTGGTATTTGAACGAATCGAAGAGTTAGTTTATCGGGTTACATACAGTGACACGGTTATGTCATTGTAGTAATTCCCACATTGGTTCACAGTCAAAGGATCTGTAATCGTCTGTAGGAATATCATAAAGGATACCTCCATTCTGAAAACAGTTTAAACGTATTAGGAAAGTAGCAGTCAATCATTTTCAATCCCTTTCTCTCACTGGAGAATAAATTGACTGAAGAATTAAAATTAGCAAAACTGTTGCTTGAAATGATTAGCACATTTTCAAGCAACACAGAATTAAAACGAATTTGTTCATGGATAGTGCATTGTCGGTTTCGTGTGATGTTAGTTTTGTTACTAGAAGTGAAAGAAGCCTATGAAGTATTATGTTATGTAAGAAATTTGTAAGACAAAAATTAGTTGTTTAGATCATGTCCATTCGAATTTTGTGACTTCAAGTACAAGTGGAAGTATTGCGGTAGAAATTGCTGATCACTTGCCTGTCTTTAGCCTCGTGTACAAGCCAAAGTATAGCCCCATTCCTGACACAATTAAAGTTAGAGATTTTAAAAAATTTGACAAGATTTCTATACGTTAAGAAACGCGAACTGGCTGCCCTTATATAATAGTAGTGATGCAAATGAAAGTTTGTCGAGATTCCTTCACATTTTTAACAGAATTAACAATGAGCATGCACCTTTGAAAATGATCAAAATTAAAAACAAGTCAAATAAACCCTGGGTAACTGAATGTTTAAGAAAAGCAATTAAAATTCGTAATCAGCTGTATAAAAAATGGTTGACAACCCGTAACTCCTATTACCATGATAAACACAAACTTTATCGTAACAAAATAGTGGCCATCAACAAAATATATCGCGCACGGTAATATAAGTATATGGTAATATACTTAAAGATTCTACAAAGAAAATGTGAGATAACATTAATGTGATTATAAACAAAAAGAGGCCATCTTCCAACATTGAAAAATTGCAAGTAAACGACAAAAACTTTGAACAGCCGTTCTCAATATCAAATGCGATCAACAAGTACTTCTGCGGTGTTCCGGCCAACCTTGCAGCCAAACTGCCCAAATCAAATCACCGTTCCTCTTCTTACATGCAGAGGAAAAAAGAATCGTTTCGGTTTATTAGAGTGAATGGAGTGGAGGTCTTCTTATTATTAGAGAGTATTGATATTAAGAAATCGTTTAATCTTGATAAAGTTCATCCTTTGCCATTATCTTCTGCCGCACCTATAGTGATAGTCCATTGATTTATGTCATTAATTTATCACTTAAGCAAGGCATTTTTCCAGACAGTTTAAAAGTTGCCAAAGTTATCCCAGTTTTTAACAGGGCTCTCGCTCCTTATGTAACAACTATCGCCCCATATTAGTCCTTTCAGCCTTGAGTAAAATTTTTGAAAGATGCATTCTTAATCAATTGATATTTAATTTCAACACGGAAAATATTCTTGTATCGAACCAGTTAGGCTTTAGAGCCGGAAAAACTACAACTGACTGCTTGGTTGACTTAGTAGATGATATAACTAAAGCTATTGACGAAGGTAGCTATGCTGTATCTATGTTTCTAGACTTAAGCAAAGTCTTTGACAGTTAACCATTCCATTTTACTTTCCAAACTTGACCTATATGGTATTCGTGCCATTGAAAACCAGTGGTTCAAGTCTTACTTAAGCAAACGGAAACAAAAGGTGTTTATTAATGGTGTCGAGTCTAATTTCTACTCACTGAATTCAGGAGTACCACAAGGGTCAATATTAGGGCCATTCCTCTTTATAGTTTATATCAACGATATGGTCAGAGCTACTAATTACTTTACCGTAAGACTTTTTGCAGATGACACATCTTTAACAGCAGTTGGTATACGTAGTGATTTAGATGTATTGATCCAGCGAATAAATTCCGAACTACCACCAGTCTATGAATGGCTATGCTCAAATTAAATAACCCTGAATTTAAGTGAGACAAAATACCTGGTTTTCCAACCACGACAGAGAAATAATTACAATTTATATCCTCCCCTTAAATTAGCCGATCAATACCTTGAACAGTCTCACACTGTTAAATAATTAGGATTAGTTATCGATTCCTTTCGGCCATGGCATGATCATATTGATTATATTAGCAGTAAAATTAGCAAAAGTCTAAACATAATCACAAAACTAAAACGACATGTAACAGTTCAATCTCTCGTAAGTGTATACTATGCACTTGTGCATACGGCTGCATATTGAGGGGTAATAATTACGAAGCTCCATTGTCTCAGTTGGTAAAGCTACAAAACAAAGCCACAAGAACCATCAACAATGTACCAATTCGTGACCATGTTACTCCCCATTATGTAGGCCTTGGCCTAATTAGACTTCCTGACATAATTAAATTGAGTACGTCTCAACTATTCTACGATCATATTGCAGACAAAAAATCTTCTAATTTTGCCCTTTCTTTTGTATCTGAGATCCATGATTATGCCACTAGAAGTACATCTTTGCATCACCTGAATCCTATCCCCTTCAGAATAAATATAAGGAAATTCTTTCCAACAGTTATAGGGTGCTACAATTGGAATGATATTCCTATATCTCTACGGGAGAAGCCCATTAAAAAACTTTTTAAAAGAGCACTTTTCTCACATTACCTGTCCTAGTACTAATTAATGTCTTCCTCTGACCATGTTTTATTTAAATATTTGTTGTTTAAGGTGTGATTCCTATTCCCTCTCTTATATTTGTATCTTATATTTGTATCTTATATCTGATTGTATCGCTTCTTTTTACTGTATGAAAAAATGTAATTTAGGGTAAAGGGCATCTAATTAGCTTGCTATATTATGCCCTTCTCCATCCTCTCATCTTACTCGTAATTATTCATTAGACTCTAATCTGTTGAAATCGAGGAAAAAAATAAATATTAAAAAAAAAACATTTGTAAGTGTAAGTAATTGAAATCAGGTAATATTTCGGGGGAAATGTTCCAAATAATTGTTTGTCTGTTTATTTACTTAGTTATTCTTAATGGAAATTTCAACGTGACTATATTTTCTCGGACTTCTGAATGAAAACAATTTTGCTCTTGAATGAATTTGATCTTTACTCATTCTATATAGCTATCGATTTGTTACTAGAAAACAAAACTTTTTTCATAAGTGACACCTTGTTGACACTCCTGTTTCTCGCTTATTGCCACTATACTGTGCATGAAAATGAAATCGAATTTGTCAACATTTAAAATTCTAGAAGAGTGGAAATGGACAATAGACCACGAGCAGTCTCTTCTTTTCGGCGAAATCCGTCGCACGAGTCAAAAAATCGTAGAAAACAAAACAAAAAAAAGAAGAAAATTGTTGGTACACACCAAGCGAAACTAGCCCCTGAAGCGAGGCGCACGAAAACTTTTTCCACCCGAATATTGCAAGAATCATTTGCCTGTGGCTCGTGCTTTACTCATGTTCCTTAATACCTTCTTGTCAAAAGATAATGTTGATAATCTTGCCACTTTGTCCTTATGTCTACTTTTCGGAGGTTATGAAAACAAATTGGCTTGGATAAATCATCTTTACGTAATGGAAGACAATGCTTCAAGATAAGGTGTTGATTCTCTGACGAAATTTATTGAGAGTACGTCGGCACTGCAAAAGATGTAATGCTTTTACGAGTAAGCTCGAGTAGTTCGTTTACTTCAGTGTGTTTCACGTGATGTTGAATCATTGGATAAATACATTTTCCCCGTCATCTGAATTTCATCGTCGCATTGTCTCAGTCTAATGTTTGGTAAAAAATTAAAGGCATCCCACACCGAATAAAAGCTGGCATGTAGCCTCTCACCAACCTAATCTGACACCACTTTGAATTTGTTGTAACTTTACAGGCCAGTAGATAACATTAATTGAAACAATTAAGGAAATGGGTCACCTTTGGCTTGGTTAGGTGTATATCGTTGTTATTATTGTGATTCAGTAAACAAAGACTTTATTTCTCCAGGAGAGTTCTAAATCACGCAAACTGTAAGCTGTCTAGGTTTTACGTGAAAATAAAACACGTCTCCTAGCATCTTATGAATTAAATATGAATATTTTTTAACAGAGAGAAATGAGCTGCACAAAGGAAGACTACTAGCTGTCGCAATTTCTCGTTTATTTATTCTGACGCGTTTCGTTTCTAGCTGAGACTTTTTCGGTGTCTGATTACATCAAATATTGAACAGCATATAAGCACAATAGTGTGCAAAAGGCTAACTCCCCATGGAAGTGTTAAATAACTGAAACATGCCGTAAATGAATGTTACAAGAAACGCCCTAATTTATCGCGCGTTATTACATTTCGAGGGCCATACCTGTAGCGCTAATTGTTTTGGATCAATAAACAAAGACTTTGTTTCTGCTCAACTTCTTTTTTTAATAAAGAGAAAATGACTATCCAGATCAACACGATTTAATCTGGTAAATCTACCACCGTTAGAAATAAATAAAAAGGCTCGCCTTGACGTTTTCGCATGTGTGACGGTAGCCAATTTTCCAGCCGGGTTTGTCAGTTGAGTCGTTTCCCATCCATACTTAGAAATTATGCCTTCCATTTGAATAAAGGGGGTAAGTTTCTAAAGAAGCTGTGGTGCTGCATCGGTGGGAAAGTAGAACAGGTAATTTAGTGTTAACAACTGAGTTGAAAACGTAAATTGGCCACCGTAAAGAGTCCTAAAGGCGGACGTTTCGAGAGTTAGCCTTTCATCAGAGCGATTTGTTATGTTTAAAGTAAGGCCTGTTTCTTTCTCGCAATTTTACCAGCGTAGACAAAGTTTTGTTTACGGGGCGTCCGTTTTTGATACACGACAAAAGCCGAAAACGCGGGGTCAGGAGGTTATAGGACAGACGCAGAGAATATTTCCAACTAATTTTCCATCCTAAATGATAGTACATAATGTTTTTATAACCAAAACTTAAATTCCAAGAAAATCGTAGAAATAAGTAGAATTTCAATTTCAATCTGTTTTTTTTTTCTATTGTGAGAACAGCAAATATACTTCTTCCGTTAGAACGAAGGGTGGGAGCAAAGCACTAATTAGCTGTTATATATAGTTGAGAAAGTCGCCAGGCAATTATAACCTATAGGCTGCTTTACTGAAATATCACAGTTACCTTGCGCTAGGAAATAATTAAGTTACTTTTGTTCACAATGAGGTCACACCAAGGGGTTTTATTCATGTTTTTAACGACCGTGTGAAAAAAAAGGAAATTACTTGCATAAGTGAGACGTATTCTCAGCTAGGAAATGAAAACCTCGCAGAATCATCGAGACTTAAGAAATTTTTTTTGCTGGCGCTGGCTGAGTAAACTAACTAAATAGTGCAAAACTAGCTTATTAACTAACAAAATAGTGCAAAACTAACTTATAAACTAACTAAATAGTGCAAAACTAGCTTATTAACTAACTAAATAGTGCAAAACTAACTTATTAACTAACTAAATAGTGCAAAACTAACTTATTAACTAACTAAATAGTGCAAAACTAGTGCATAACTAAAGAAAAGAAAAAAACACATGGCCTTACGTCAGTATGTGGCAGCACTACAGTTTCGTGGGAAACCTACCCCCCCATAATTACGACAATGTCTACACCTGAGTGAGTTAGTGCGAGAAGAGGGACACATTTGCATATCGGAGTTCCCACAAAAACTCGTTTTTGTGTTTCGCTTAGCCACTAGTTAAAAAAAGAAAAAATTCAAAGGCCAGTAGTTTTTCTTTTTCTTTCTCTTTTTAATGTATGTACATTTCTTACCAAGTTAAAAGCAAAATAAATAACATTCTTTCTTTTTAGTTTCTAATTTTTTTCCAAAAGAAATTATTCACCTTGATCTGCATGCGATCAGGGAACTTCAGGGAACCCCTAACGGATTCTTTAATTTTTGATGGAAAATAAAAACAAACCAATCATGAGAAAGTGCCTTTTTCAGTTGTTTGTTTGTTGTTGTTTTGTGGTTTTTTTGTAGGTGCGACACTTAATTTTCTTGTAGGTGCGACATTTAATACATAATAATACGCACCCACTTTATGCACAACATTAAGTGGGTGTCTTTTCAATTCCTTATAAAGAAACGCTTGACATTGGTCTGGAAGCAGTCAAGACGCGACCCGAAGGAGGCACCTTCCTAGACAAACACTCGTGGAATATAAATTTTCCAAACTTAACACGCAAGTTAAGTCCAAATGGATTTGGAACAAAAAGCACACGACTCGTCGACGATAATTCGTGATCAGAAAAAAGGCAAAAAAATTGCCAAATCTGCCATAAACCTCGATTCGCACAGTTCCTGAACAACATCTTATCTTCCACTGTCGCGACAATCAACGACCATTTTCCGAAACCGCGCAGCCGAACCTGGCCGAACAGTTTTCGCCGAAGTAGGTGGAGAGGGCGTCAGTCTCTTTTGATTCGCCGATGTTGGTGGAGAAGGAGAAAACTGTCCGCGAGGAACACCGCTGATCTCAGAGCTTTTGCTTGTAAGTACGCGGTTGGGTACCGTGCCATGGTAACGTCGGTCATGTGAAGAAGGGGGAGGTCTGGGTATGGGATGAGGCTCTGCCTCAGTCGATTCGCGTCTTCTTTGTGGTTTTTCTTCTAATAAAGATTGTCTCTTGGAGTCAGACAATCTTCGTTGCGGTTGTCTACGATATAAAACAAGTGTGAGGATAAAATATGACCGTGGCCACAGGCCTGGAACATTCCCTTCAGGGGTGTTAGTCTCTAGTCGTCCGTTTAGGGAATTTAGCTAGCGGGGGTTCTCAGATACGCAGTTACAGCGTTGTTACGGAGAGAGACATTAAGAGGGAGTTTTGGATATTTCTGCCATGAAATGTGGATACTGTAGCATTCTGATTTAACGCTTTGGAACTTTCTTGAATATACTTCTAATTGATGCCACTATGGTGTACTATTACAGGGGCATTTATTTGTATTACATTTATTCTTAGAAAAGTTCTTCTACAGTGCTTTACCAGCACGGTAAAGCTGTTCATCGGGAAAAGGCGAAATACATTATTTTGTACTAGACAAAAGTTATCCCGCTGTGAAGAATGTGCACTGTCGCTGGACGAACGACGCCTGGAGGATGATGGAAAAAGTTATTTAACCACCTGAGTTGGTTTTGAAGGTGGTTGTATAGAGGTTTTCTTCTCACTCTTATATTATACGGAAACACATCACTTTTAATAAAGTGTTTAAACGAAGAAGGAAAAATCAGATTTTGTACTACTTACCTTGCAACTGCTGAAACGTTGTTGAGAAGTTCCTTCTCAAGTTTCGTTCCCAAATCACGCAAATCTAAAACAAAATTAATAACACTTGTGAAAGTACATACAACCCTGTATTTGGGCATGATTTAAACGCAATAAATTAGTCAAGTCGTATGGGACAGAACGCCTAACCCAGCTATATCGGTGGTTAAAAGTGAGGGTTTTATGACTGCTGTAGTTTGACATTGGTTTTGCATTACTGCGTTCAGTGGTTGTTTAAGAAATCACGTGTCACCCATTCAACCGCGTTTTCCCGCGCTTAATGCCGATTGCTTGGTTTTACTTTGAGTTCCCATTGGCTACTTGTGATGTTTTCCTTGGTGTTTTGATTGGCCTATAGTAACTTATTTTGGGTTTTGGTTGTACGACACTCTATCTGTGTGATTATTTATTCAAAGTGCTTTTCAGCTTCTTCTACCTCTCAACGACGGCTCTGGTTCATTCGGCGATGTAACCTGGCCTCTATAGTCTGATTCCTCCATCAGGCAATCCTTAAAAAAACCACACAGAAAGGTCCAACTAGGTTAATTTAAAAGCAGAGTACGGCGACAAACTCTATGAAAGGAGAGGGTTCGTTTCTAGAGAAACTGTGGTGCTGCGTCGGTGGGAGAGTATAGACAGATAATTTAATATTATCAACTGAGTTGGTATAGTAAATTGGCCACCGTAAAGAGTATGAAAGCCAGCTTTCTTGGAAAATTTTCCTCAAACAGCCACACGGCTCATTAGAACAGAAAAACGTGTCGGAATAGGTCGTCTCCTCCTGGGCGGGAAGGGGGGTGGGTAAACTGTAAAGGTTCTATTGTACAGTTGTAGAGAATTAAGAGCTAATATTCACCCAATGCAAAAATAGGAAACTAGAGAAACAGAAGAAAAACTGTGCAATTTTAGGAAATTTGCATTTTTTTTGAAATTAATATAGTTAGGAACATTAAAACCTACACAGAATAGCAATATACAGTGTTTTCTTTTAAACATGAAAAAATTTATTTTGCCATTTATATAGACCTCTTCACTTTTTTCTCTCCTCTTTTTTTGATTTCCAAAACTTTTCACCACCCAATAAATGAAAAATGCATGTTATAAATGTAAAAAAATTAATGCAAGTTAGTAGTGTATATCCCCACAATTCCTGACTAATTGAAATTTGGAGTATTTAATGGCCCTTGCAGAAGGGATTAAACTGGTAAGCAAGAGGCCAGGGTAAAAATCATCCAACTTAAACTAAAATATGGAATTCATAAACTCAGAACACAGGAGAAAGTGAGCACTGGCTTCACTGTCAGCACCAGCTGCTCTCTTAACCCTTTCACTCCCAAGATCTAATTAGTAATTCTCCTTACTGTCTGCCAAACAATTCTCATTTTGGCAGTTTGAAGAATTTGGTACTAGATCAATTATTAATCCTATAATTGATATTTTTCTTTATTCTCATTACTTGTCTGCATGATATTGTATTGACATTGTAAGGAGAAATTCTGTCTTGATCACTCATGGGAGTTACAGGGTTAAGTATCACTACACGATAGGGCACATCAGTTGTACCTGCAAAAATGCTATGTCTCCAAGGAGACCTTCTTTCTCTTCTTCTAATAACTGCCTACAATTTGAAAATGTACACAAGAAATACTGGTGGATTAAAACAAGGCAAAAAATTAAAGTAGTTGCATCTGAAACCAGAGACTGCTTTTTCCCATTTAAAGTAAATAGCTTGGAAATTATGCTGCCAAAGTAATCAAAGTGATTAAGAACAAAGGGAAAAATTACAAGGTCACCGGGCCAGTGTGTTAATAACTGGTTGCATGTGTGAGAAAGGTATTATAGATAAATAACATATGGGTCTATTTTGGCATCTCATTGCCTCGTGGTTATGAGAAATTTTCTCCCACACTTTTCTGTACTTTGCATTTTAAGTTTCATAGTAACATGAGAAAAAAACCTTCGGAGAGGGAAAACAGACTCAGAACTACAATTGTAGCCAACAATAGCATGTGTTAAAGTTATATCCACATGTGGCAATAATAATATACAAGTATGAGTGCTTTCCTGTACCAATCAAGATGATATCTGAAAATTTGACATAACACATATGAAATGGACTCACTGCTATCTGGCAGTAAGACAGTAAGTACCTTAAATGATGGGTAATTCTATCAATTTCCAGTGCATTCAGCTTGTCATTCATGGACTCAAGATGATCGCTAAGAGAGGAAGCACACCTAAACCAAAGAAAAAAAATCATTAAATACATTATCACTTTTTTGGGCATGTGGCACATGAACTCTTATTGATCTATTTACATTATATTGTTTGGCAAAACAAGAAAAATCATTTTAATGGTTGTGTGCTGCATTTAGAGTGTAAGCTCATGAACAGAAGCAAACAGCCCATTACAGCAATTTACATCTTCACCTGCTACCATCACTACTGGGTGTTGCCCTCATCGGGGTTTGTCGTCCATCTCTGGATGAATGAGCAGTGGATGGTCGACTTGATGAGCTGGAGGGTCGAGCAGCTGTTAATAAGAACAAAGAACCCACATCAGTCTAACATAATTGTAAGACGACTTTGGTTTTGTCAACTGGGTAGGTGATGTAATGTCATTTGCTCTGACAAAGGGCTAACATGCAAAATGTCAGCTTTGAAACTCTTTACAGTGGCTGACACAGCACCAGTTTCTTTAGAAATGTACCCACTTTATGAACATAATCGTGCAATTCAATTGCCCTTTGTTCCAATCATGATGGAAGTGAGAAAAAATAATGAATGGCTAATAATTGGATGAAAAATACAATTTCTTTAGATATTAATTGCAAATTATGCACAGAAAATTATTAAATTACAGTCATGCATGTGCCTAAATTTAAAAAAAGTGTGGTTGAAATTAGGAAAGTGATAAATTAAGGTACATGTATTATACTACATAGACCAAGTGAAATACTTTTTTTCAAGCAAAATATCTGGTTTTAAGCTAAACATCATGTTGAACTTACCTGTATTGTCAAACACATATTCGATTATATCAGACTCCTTCTCACTCAAAATGTTTGATGTATTCCTACAAAGAGCAAATTGTTAAGTTAACCCTTTAACTCCCAAGATCTCATTAGTAATTCTCCTTACTATCTGCCATACAGTTCTCATGATGTTTGTTTGGAGAATTTGGTGTTGGATCAACTCATTTTCCCTTAATTTATATTTTTCTTTATTCTCATCACTTGTCTGCTTGACATTATATTGATATTGTGAGGAGAAATTCTATCTTGGTCACTCATGGGAGTTAAATTGACAAATAAAATGAGTTATGTAAAATCATAAGATTTAAATCATGTCAAACAAAATGGGTCCTTCTGTTGCTGTAGTTGCTGCAAGAAGGTCAAATTTCTGTTCTGGCTTTTTAATTTTTTGTTTCAATTTCTAAATGAACAAGCTGTATTTATACCCTTCAAGGATTTTTTAACATTTTCCAATGTTAGGCAGCTGTAAAATATTGTAGTTATTTTTAGCAGCTTTAAGTTGGTACAAAAAAAAATTCAACTTTACACAATAACTATCACCCTTACTCATTAGTCAGCTACTAACTTTAAATTTCATTGTGAAAACAAGTCATGTTCTAATAAATATGATTAACAAGGAAGTATCAAAAAATCTTGGCAAGATTACAATGTCTTTACAAACTTTAAAAAATTTTAAAACTAGAAGGTGTTGACAACTAGCTTATGACAAATTTCAGACCACATAAATCTTCAAACCCGTTTATAATGCAGGATAGCTTACAAAGTTTTAGGAAATACATGCCGCAATCCGTGCACATCTTTGTTCTAGCAAGTGACAACCAACATGTCATTAATAAATGAAACTTTGCAGTTTACACTATACCTTCCTTCCTCTTTTGCTTTCTGCTGCAACATTTCCACAAACATTTTAATCTCTTTCTTGAGATTTTCTCTTATCATTGGAGGCTCAGGAAGTCTATGTAAATGTCTTTGAAGGGCTTTCTCTGTCAAAATGAAAGCAGTACTCATAAAAAGAGCAAGACAAGAGCAATTTAATTGGGAGACAAGATAATGTTTGGGAAAGGGCTTGGTCTACAATGTATCCCTTTTAAAGTTACTAGTCTAAGAATACCCCATCAAACTGGAAACTGAAATACAGTACTGGATTATTAGAGTGATATTTTGACTGTTGTATTGGCAACAAAGTACCATAAACAAGTTTATTTCAGTACAATGTTTTGTTCATACCTATCTTGAATACAGGACGTAAAATTAATTTTTTTTTTTAAATAGCCCGTCGGCTCCTAGATATTTTTAAATGGTAACCAATTCCAAAAAGTTGATTGCCATTTGTCATTTTTAAGACATTGTACCAGAAAGACCCTTCAAAATTATGAAAGCCAAATCACTGTAGTTGCTTAACAGTGATACAAATCAGAGAATCTTGAAGATCTCTTTTTTAACAAATGGATACAGTCATCATGTGGAACAAACTCATTAACTGAAACATATTTGTACATGCTCAATACTCAGCCATAACAGAGTTGAAAAAAGATATCGCGTAATAATTATGTCAATAATCCATTTCATCAACAAATGGGTGGAAACATTTGCTAACAATTATAGTTGCTCTTTGTCTGCTTCTAGTAAATGATTGTTCATTATTGAGCAGTGTGGAAAAAAGCCTCTAATACCATGAACTATCAAATGCAGATTTAAAACATGAATGGAACATGATAATTACTACAAGTTTGGGCAACCATTATGGTGTAATCAAAAGTACATTTCAAGAATGCCCTTAACATTATAAACATCTAATAACTAGTCAGAACACTTCTACACTGATGGTTACTTAAATAAAGTTACATTACATTGTAGATAAAGGTGTGCATATTGGGCTTCTAAATTGAAAAAAATAAGAATCAATTCAAGAGGAACCTTTCCCCTTCTAGCACCTTTCAAGGATGTTCTGAAAGTGCTTTGCTATTGATCATCATTTTTATGAAACTGCCAAATATTTAAACCTAAAATAGATTATCTATAACTATCTTGATTTTGTATATAACATGTGACAAACAAATTTTTACAACAGTTGTGTGTAACCAAAACATGGTAATTAAATAATAATAACTAAAATACAAAAAAGAAAAGGAACCTCTCTCTTCTTTCTCTGTTTCTTCCCTGTAATCTTGCCAGATTTCAAGAAGGGTGGAGGCCTATATTAAAATATTAACAGACCATTCTTTCATTATTTAATTGGTAGTGATTAATTTAAGTTAATTACTTTTTTCTTCTGTCAGAAGGTAGCTATATGTGTGCAGGAGCTGGGAGTTGTTGCTGCAAGACTAGCCTAGGTGTAACTGTACCCTCCCCTCCCTCACTTCCATTTTGCCTTGGGGAGGAGATGGTGCAGCTACATCTAGGCTACTGTGAGACACCTGTGTAGAATGGCTATCCCTTGAAAATATCACAAAATAGAAGGTGATATTGTGTACAAAAGAAACACAAAAGAGAGTGATGGAATTCCCTTAAGCAACATTTTCCTGTGATTTCTAGTACCTAAAGAAGCAAAGATTTGAGGAAATGTGACAGTTATAATGAGAAATTGTACAATTCAACTTGATGGTGTAGCTACATGTAGCTGTTCTACAAAACTTTTTGCCCAAAGGGTTCTTTCCCATCAAAAATCTACAAAACATTGACACATTTATGTTCTAACAAAGTACTCATTTCCTTGCAGAGACATCAACAGTGAAATGTGTCATTGTTTGCAAGAATATTGGGATGTAGATGTGGGCTTCCCAAGCTCACGTCTTGAGAAGAGCAAAAGATTAATTCATGAAAGCATCACATGTTGTGTTACCCAGTGTTAAGTTATGCAAGAAACTGTTGAGAATTTGATGGGCTAACTTGGAAATTCTGGTGGAAAATGCTTGTTTTCTGCATTTTTCCAGGGTTCAATATGGTCTTAGAGTGTAAACTTTGGGTGAAAAAATTGCTGTTTGGAAGGATTATTTGGGTGCAAACCGTCTCCACAAGGACAACAGTTGAAATCATAGTGTGCAGCCCTGACCCTGTCTTATAACAGGAATAACAGTGATGGCAAAGCAAGCTTAAAACAGCAGAGAATGCCAGAAAACACAACAGACACACAAGGAGTGAGTAGCTTTTATCAATCTTACAGATAAAATGTTTGAATTTTGGAATATTTAGCCTTCTAAATCAACCATATTTCTTTCCCCATACTATTCCTTATGAGGCCTTCAAATTCTCAATGGTACCTCAAGCAACCTAACACTGTGCCACACAATACATGACCCTTTCATGAATTAACCTCTTGCTATTATTGAGACATGAGCTTGGGATGCCTGTGATGTAGAAAGGGTTCAAGAAAACGAGGAAAGTTTCCTTATTTGCATGCACCAAATTACAGATAACTTACAACAGTAAATCAGTAAGGATAAGATTACCAAAACAGACCAAAGAAAAGTTAGAGGAAAGACCTTGTGTCAATGTAATTGTTAACTCAAAAGTTTAGCTGATAGAGAAACAACCAGTGGCAAAAATAAGTGGCCCCTGTCTTCAATAGAGAGTTTATTCCTGCATTCTCTCCTCTTTTAATTTTCCATCCTGCAATCACAGCTGGAAACAAAGTACTTCGCGATAACATTTTTAATTGGTTGACTGTTATCCTTTGAAGCCTCGAAATACTGACATTCATCTTTTAAGCATGCTTACACTTAATCATCATCACTGTAGTCCATCAACTGTAAGGGGATTTAACTATCACACAACAGTACCATAATGTGAATGAAAGTGATCCTCGCAGTGATGTGCACTACTTAGGCAGTAGTAACCGTCCAGTACCATAGTGATTATCGATCAATATAAAGCAATAACACACAACGAAATAAAGACGAGTTTAAGGATGATTATCGATTTATATTGACTTTTTAGATCAAACAATGATCATCAATACGTATCTATTGATTTTTATCGACTTTATTGACTGAAGTCAGTAGCTGATTGATAATGCATGATGTTATCTGACATAAACGTCAAAATACATACATGTACATGTAAATATAACCGACCTCATTGTGTAAATCCAAGGTCTCATCCACTAGATCTTCTCCCAAAGCTTCTTTGATCTCGATTCGCTCACTTTCAGGAACGTATTCCTCGATAAATTTCCATAATGACGGTCTGCTTTCGAATGCCTCCAGTCGCCATTCCATGGAAGTTGAGAGATCTGCACACATCGATCCTTTCAAACAACCTTCATTCAGGCGAAATTAACAAGTATTTTTGAAAATTCTGCCTTCATCCTCTGATGAGTAAATTTTATCACTGGCTTGTTTATATAGTTTTACTAGGATCCTAAAATACTACTTGAGTTGACAGAAACGACGCCATCTTTGTTGCTGAGTGAAAAGCTTAGTAGCCACGCTTCAGATCATGGCTGAGTGACCGTCAAGGGATCGCGAAGCTGTTTCCCTGACAACTTCAGCTTGTCTGGCCATTTTTTTTCGCTCGTCTACTGAGAGTCTGCTACAGGATAACGTCTTTGTTGCGAGATCCCAGCACTAGTGAAAACTTGCTGTCTTGTTGATATGCTGTCAATATGTAAGTAAGGATGATATAATAAAAATGATGATGATGATAGTAAAAATAATAGTAATGATAGCGATGATATTAATGATAATAAAGTTATGGAATCGAATTTGCCTTTTTTAATAAAAATTGTCCATAATGCTCCGGAATGTGTGAAGATGGTATTTTGTCTTGATAACGATGTTAAGCGGGTGTATGACACAAAATTTGCACCACCTGCCGTTAAGGATTTCTCCTGAAGGTCGTTCTATTTTCCAAAACTCATTGTCAACGGTAGAAAAGGAACATCAAATTACAAATGTCGTCAATATTTGAAATATTTAATGAAGATGGTCGCTGTATATCTAGAATGTCTCTGGTATGTATCAAAGTCAATTCAAAGAATATCCTTCTATGACTTTCAGGCGAATTACTCTCCTTAACTTAAGTTCAACTTTCTCTTTACTTGTTTCACTCTTCTTAAAAAAGCTCTATCAGAGCTGAATATTCTAGCATTTTAGACGCACAGTTAAAACAAGTTGGTCGGAATTATCCGCCCTAATAAATGAGAGTTTTTCTAAGTTAACTGTATAAACTTCACAATCAAAGAGTGACTAAAGAGCGTTTCCTTATTGTATTTTGAATCAAAGATTAAGCCAAATACATTTAAGTTCAAGTCTCTGTCTCAGAACAGAGGGAGCAGAAATGACTTCCCTCTGTAAATAATTCCGGTATAGTCAATCATTGTTCCTGTTTTTTTTAAAATGGCGTTATTTCATTAATAGACCTCTTTCGCTTTTATGTTATGTTTACCCATTTCAAGTCGCGTGATAATACTCTAGAAAACCATGTTTTCCATTTTTCCTGGTTACCAGCCTACTTATCAGATGCCATAGAACAGGTCCAATAGCGTGTTTTGGAAATCATTTTACTCTAACGTTCACTACGCGGACAGTTTGGACCTTAGCATTTCTTGACAATTCTCTCATCCTTGTTGCTTCATGCAAAGTATCTTCCATTCATCTGCCGTCCAAGTTCTTGTATCTTTGTCTGGTAATAACTGATCCGCTTGTTGGCCTCTCCAAGCCACCCTTTTGGTTTCTTAGACTCCCACAGAGAGCTAACTTAAAAAATCGGGGTTACTATCAGAGATTCGATGTAAACGTTGCACAAGATGTTTCTGATATTCTTTATTCCCATATCATGAAATTACAGCCAATAGAAACACAATAATCACATTTCAATATTCTACGGCACTTATCCTGAATACGACAGTATATAAGCGAAACGAAAAAAAAAATGTATGCATTCATGGTACAGACACAAACTTTTCTGTGAATATTAAAGTATGGGGTACACTTTCAGGGAGTAGCGAATTAGGGCTGTTGGATGTATTTGTTTCTTGAAAATAAGACAATTTTGATTCGTTTTTCTTTCTAAAAAAGAGAGCTTGACATTAACGCCATATTGTCATACGATCCAGTCACAAGGCCAGTCATAGACTTGAATTTGTTTTTTATTAGAAAATTTCCATAATGCTCATTCATTTTAGCAATGTTATTTCTCTTTTCAAACGATGTTTGTTTGAGCGTATAGAGTAAAATTTACCATCACCGGTTCTTATAGGACCGACATTTGATGAGACTAAGGCTGGATCAGCCAAATTAGTTATAGCTTGAAAATGTTTAAATTTTTGCATTTTCTTCCATCGAATTACGATATTAAAATGTCTATCAGTTGTTTAATTTGCCCACTTGTTTTCGTCCATTCATACCAATTGCTTTTAGAAACAATTGTTTTTCTACTGAGCAAGCCGTCCACAATAAATGATTTTGTTTTGTGAGCGCACACACACAATGAATAAGGGCCTTTCCGCACTAGCGGACAAAACTAGAATTGTTCCGACAAAATCAAAGGACAAATTCGTCATGACAAATGTTTGTTTCGTCTTTTGCATCCGCATTAAAATTTTCAAATTCGCCAAGTTGCGTCAGCGCCTGATCTGTTCATATGATCGGCCGGCATAATTGTTAAAGGATTCCACCTCCAACTGACAGGATTTATCCTAAGTCGTTTTAAAATTTTAGAATTCCCGAGTTTTGCAACAAAAGATAATTTGTGCCTTTCTATAGTAATCTGATTTCTGTATAAGATATTTTATATAGTTTTTTTTTAGGCCATTCATATAAATTGCTATTTACAAAAACTTTTTCCTCTACTGAACATAAATTCACAATAAAAACTATTTTGTTCTGTAAGCACACAAAAAGTCAATTAGCTTAATCTGTATACGATAAATTTTTTTTTATACAACAGTTAGGGATTATCTTTATTTTCCATTGTTTTTCAGCTATTCGTAGGAATTGCTAGGTACAAAAAAATGTTCCCTACTGAACAAATATTCCCAAAAACTATTTTGTTCCGTGAGCACACACAAAAAATCAATTACCTTAACCTGTATACGATAATTTTTTGTATACAGCAGCTAGGGATTATCTTTATTTTCCATTGTTTTTCGGCCATTTGTATAGATTGCTCGCCACAAACAATTGTTCCCTACTGAACAAATATTCACAATTAAAACTATTTTGTTCTATGAGCACACAAAAGGTCAATTAGTTTAATCTGTATGCGATAAATTTTTTTAAACAACAGCTGGGGATTAGCTTCATTTTCCATTATTTTTCAGCCATTCATATGAGTTGCTAGTTACAAACAATTTCTCCTCTACTGAACAAATATTCATAACAAAAAATATTTTGTTTTGTCAGAACACACAAAAGCTCAATTAGTTTAGTCTATCTAATCTAGAAGTCCTGTTGCAAGGCTTTTTCAGTTTCCAAGGCTTTGGTAAAAACTTGGACACCCAAGAGTGAAAAAACACTTAAAAGGAACTGGATGCAGCAACATGCATGAAAGACATGCCTGCTCATATACTCGCCCAATTGTAATCAAGAATGTTATGGTTAAAAGTTGTATAGAAAATTAGAGATCTTTGATCCTCTTGAGACTAACGAAGTAGAGAATAACTGTAATTTGTTACCAGGGCAACAATAGATAATTTTTACATGACAATTTTGTTCATTTTAGATTTTTTTATTACGTTGCCTGTACATATTTCAGTTTGCAGTTTGCCAGAACCACTTCTACTCAGAGCTTTAACTCTCGACCATCAGCTCACTTGAAACGTTGTGGTATGTTTAAAAGAAAGCTAATAATTTCAAAAACTCATATTGTTTCAGACGGTGACTTTCTTTCTTTGAGTTTAACTATTGTAATTTCGTTGTATAATGGGCCAATTAAAACGTAGTATATTAGCTTGAACCAATCACAAGGTTCCGGAAGTCTTTGTAATCCAATCAGTTTACTCGTACGTCAGCGTTCCTCACACACAGATAAGAAAGAAAACTAGCTTTACTGCAACGAATTGGTCTTTAGAGCTTGTGAAAACAGCTTTACTTGAGGTGAGTTGCTAAGCTTGTTTGTTGATGCAATAGTTATGAGTTGACGTTCACTTCAATGTTATAACTTAATATTTGCTTTAAAATCCCTTTTTAACAGATCTTGGTGATTCTTGAGCTGAAAAGTTCAACTTTGGTACTTAAACCTTGGTAAAGGACGCGCGATTGAGGTAGGTCAAGACATCTTTCATTGCAGTTGTCTTGCTGTTCTGAAAAAAGTTTTGCGACTGGTCTCAATCGGGGTAAGGTAGATATTCATCTTGATTAAACTTTCTGCTTATGAAGGCTACAGTATGTCCCTTTGCTGAGTTTTTCGATAAGTAAGGAAGGTGGGGAGGGGGGGGGGGAAGGAATGGGGAGGGAGTTGCTCTTTACACTGCCTTGAATTGGGAGATGTCGCTACATTGGTTTTTTTTCGATTTTCACAGTGACACATCAACTATGAAGACTGTGTTCCTGTTCATTTTGGCTGTTATGATTGTATCGGTGACATCACGTTCTACCGGGAAAGGTGAGTAAATGCAAAAGATACTTGGCGATAAAGCAATGGTGTAGACAGTGAACTAATGAGTGAAATGGAAAGTAAAGAGAAAGTTTGAAAATCAAGATGGATTTAAGCAATATTTTGGGAATGAGTCTCAGCGTTTGAAATGTCTTGGGCTTTTTTTGAAACTTACAAGAATGAACTTACAATTGCGTATCAACGACAAACATTTCGTGCTGATTATTTAAACGAGGTCTAACCCAAACCACGGTTTTACGCAAGTAGTGGGCCCTGCTTATTCTCCATAAGAGGTTTGTTTACATGAAATAAATGCTAACAAATGCTTCCACTGCTAACTTTCGACACTCTTGACAATGTTCATTTGAAAAAAATCTTCACATAGAACATCCAGCTAAATGAGCAATTTCGAATTCCTATGAAGGTTTAGAACGCTGAAAGAACAGAGCTTGAAAACATACTTTAAATCCTATGATTAACTCCCAAATACCTTATGTAAAGAAAGAAATAGTCAAAATGTCCGGAACTAGATTTGAAAATAAGTTGTGACTTAACAGTGGATATGAAAAATACAGATCAATATCAAGTTTGGTATTTTAACATTCAAACTTCGGTCTGCACTCAGTCTTCTTGAAAAACACATTCAATATCAATTATACATTAAAACGAAGCCTTACGATGAGATGAGATTTATGGCTACCTATCTGAAAACCGATGAAAACTCATTTTGAGAACAATGAAACTAGAATGAACTGTCTGCTGCTTCATCGTCACAAATTGGAATGGACACCGCATTCGATATCCTAATTGTAAGTTGTATGTAACCTCACATCGTTGAGTCACATCTTGGGGGGAAATGACCAAA